GAACATGACACATTCTAAACTCAATGAGGACACGACGTTAGATAAAAGGACGTGAGATCACAAATTAAGTTAAGAACGTTAGTAGTTAGTTGAACGTTATCTTATTCCAATGAAGGATAGACTTGGTGGTAGTTTAAAACACCATACGTTATTCTCCTTTCATATCAATAACTAGGTAATTTACCTGCGCGAATCTTTCTAAGCTTTTAAACAACCTTTTCAATAATCGACTGTTATAAGAAAAAGAAAATAAATTTTAGTATGTTTTAAGAACATTTCATCAGAAATTAAATGATTTGACATTATCACATATCTCAAGAATTGTAAATATATGATGAATGATTAAAAATATCTTTATATCTAATCATTTTTATCTTTTACATAATTTATTATAATATATGTTTGATGATATAATTGTCTTGTTTTTTGTTTTGTTTTTTTATGACAAGGGAAACCCGCAGCCGCTACCCTTTGGGTGCACACGGGGTAAAATCTGTTAAAATCGAGTGATCTTTTTATGTAGCGATTAGACATCATTTTTTCTATTTTTTTGTACATAAAAAATATAGAATCTGATAATTTTATAGTTAGAATAACTCCTTGTGGAAAAAAAATTATGTGAAAGTTTTCGATAATCAATATTAGTTATAAATAAGTTAAGATTGTTAAAAATGTATACCACAACAACATAAATAAAGTTTTTTAGAGACAATCTACTTGTCTGAGGTCAAACGTTCACAACTTTTCGTTATTGTTACTTTGTTAGTCTAACAAAATTTATAGAAGGAGAAAAATGAATTTGAAACAACAACAAAATAATATTGTTGACCCTTTTAGAAATTCATTCTTCACTAAACTGCTGCTCTGAAGGCCCTTTTAGGTGCTTCATCAATGCAACTTTACGACTTTTTCAGAAATATGTATGTATAATTGTTGCATTATGAAAGTACAAGTAGATCAAAATGTTGTATTCTAGACTCATGTTAAAGAAATATTCTCGAACATTAAAAAATAAAAAATGAGTCTAACCTAAATAACTCAAACGCTCAATAATGACTTGGGACATGAAGGACAACAAATCTATGTTAATAGACGTATCTTTTGTAGCTTAAGATATTACTTTTATTTAGAGCAGGTTTTCTTTCATATTATTCAAATTAATCTTGCAGAAAATACTCATAACTCACACCAAAAATATTTAAAAGAGCTAAATAAGAAGGAAAAAAAGAAGAAAAACATTAAAAGGATGAAAGTTTTGTCCAAGTGAGATCATATACTTTTCAAACAAAAAGTAATCAATACAATTTGAAGGAGACAACAAAATAGCGAGAAAAAACATACATTAAAGGGAGTAAACTATGAGATGTCCAATAATGATAACAAATCATTCTAACCAGAAAATTTCTCATGTTTTGAAATAACATACCTCAAAAAATTGACTAACACTTCAATAAACCTTCATTCCTTAAAATACTCATAATATCCACCGATAAAATTGAGTAAAAATAGATAACAACAACATAAAAACCAAAAAATATGGGCATGCAAAGTTATTAGCTCTTAGAGATTTTTTTAAAGAACACAAAATTTCAACCTTGTATGTGAAGGAATGACGTTGTTGATGAAGAAATTAGAAATTTGTAAGGTTTTTTTAAAATTTTAATAGTACCTTCAACAATTCCAATAGAGAAAACTTACTTGAATGCTCAATTAACTTTTGTTATTTGATCTGTACTAACAAATACTTATAACAATAATTTTTCAAAAACATAAACTACAAAGTTTAAAGCATGTACTCAAAAATAAAATTAATAATGTAAGCATAAATTAATGATTGTAAAAAAAACATACCATGTAACAATAGAATGAAACAGAATGGAAAAAATTGAGCCCACTGAATGCACAGTGACTCCTTAAGGAAATTATTCCCCTCTAGTACCCGAGGTTTGAAGAAATAGACCCTCTTAGTATAGAACGATTTTATTCACAAGTGTATTGATACAAAAAAAATGGTGTCAGTGAATCATTCAACAGGAGCAAAGTACACAAATATTTAGTTGTCTAAAAGAAGAGAAGAAGCTCAAAATTTTCGTTGTTTTAATATGAGAGGAAATTTCTCTATTTATAGACAACAAAGGGTAGTGTGAACAAATGTTTATTGTGTCTTATCGAAAATGTCACAACTCTTTGGAAAAGTTACAACCCTTCGGAAAGGTCGCAACCTTTCATAAAAGTCACAACTTTTCATAAAAGTCGCAACTCTTCATAAAAGTTTCAACTTTGCATAAAAGTCACAATTTTTCATAAAAGTCGCAACATTTCATAAAAGTCACAGCTTTTCATGAAAAGGGAAAAACTAGTTTTGGAAATAAATTAAATTAAAAGGGAATCCTAGTTTGTGGAGGCACCACATAAGCGGATCTAGGGTTCTCTTTTATATATATACTAGGTAATTTACCCGCGCTTCGCGCAGGCATAAATAATCTTTCTAAGCTTTTGAACAACCTTTCCAATAATAAACTATTATAAGAAAAAAAAGAGTAAATTTTAAGAACATTTCAACAGAAATTAAATGATTTGACATTATCACATATCTCAAGAATTTTTAAATATATAATGAATGATTAAAAAATATCTTGATATCTAATCATTTTTATCTTTTACATAATTTATCATAATATATGTTTGATGATATAATTGTCTTGTTAAAACTGAGTGATGTTTTTATGTAGCGATTAAACATATCTTTTTTCTATTTTTTTGTACATGGAAAATATAGAACTGATAATTTTATGGTTAGAATAACTCCTTGTTAAAAATAAATTATATAAAAGTTTTCGATAATCAATATTAGTTATAAATAAGTTAGGACCGTTAAAAATGTGCACCACAACAACATAAATAATTTTTTTTAGAGACAATCTACTTGTCAGAGGTCAAACTTTCACCACATTTTGTTATTGTTACTTAATTACTCTAGCAAAATTTATAGAAGGAGAAAAATAAATTTGAAACAACAGCAAAATAATATTGTTGATCCGTTTAGAAGTTCATTCTTCGTTAAACTGCTGCTCTGAAGGCCCTTCTATATGCTTCATGAATACAACTTTACGACTTTTTCAGAAATATGTATGTATAGTTGTTGCATTATGAAAGTACAAGTATATCAAAATGTTCGATTCTAGACTCATGTTGAAGAAATATTCTCAAACATTAAAAAATAAAAAATGAGTCTAGCCTAGATAACTCAAATGCTTAGCAATGACTTGGGATATAAAAGACAACAAATCTATGTTAATAGACATATCTTTTGTAGCTTAAGATATTACTTTTATTTAGAGCAGGTTTTGTTTCCTATTCTTCAAATTAAGCTTGCTGAAAATAGTCATAACTAACACAAAAAATATTTAGTAGAGATGAATGAGAAGGAAAAAAAGAAAAGCATTAAAAGGACGAAAGTTTTGTCCAAGTGAATTCACAAACATACAAAACGAAAAATAATCAATATAATTTTAAGGAGACAAAAAAATAGCGAGAATAAACATACATAAAAGGGAGTAAACTATGAGATATCCAATGATGATAACAAATCATTCTAACCAGAAAAGTTCTCATGTTTCAAAATAACATACATCAGAAAATTGACTAACACTTCAATAAACTTTCAATCCTTAAAGTACTCATAATATCCAGTGATAAAATTTAATAAAAATAGATAACAACAACATAAAAAATAATAATATGGGAATACAAAGTTATTAACTCTCAGAGGATTTTCCAAAGAACACAAAATCTAATCCTTGTATGTGAAGAAATGACGTTGTTGATGAACAAATTAAAGATTTGTAAGTTTTTTTTTTATTGTACCTTCAACAATTCCAGTAGAGAAAACTTGCTTGAATACTCAATTAACGTTTGTTATTTAATATGTACTAACAAATACTTATAACAATAATATTACAGAAACATAAACAACAAAACTTGAAGCATGTACTCAAAATAACAATTAATACTATAAGCATATATTAATGACTGTAAAAACATACCAGATCAACATTAGAATGAAACATAATGGAAAAAATCGAGCCCACTGAATGCACAGTGTCCCCTTCATGAAGTTATTCCCGTCTAGTACCCGAGATTTAAAGGAAGAGATCCTCTCAGAAAATAATGATTCTATTCACCAGTGTATTGTTACAAAAAAAATGGTGTCAGTAAGTCATTCAACAGGAGCAAAGTACACAATTATTTAATTGTCTCGAAGAAGTAGAAGTAGTTCAAATTTTTCGTTCTTTTAAAATGAAAGGAAATTCCTCTATTTATAGACAAAAAAAGTAGTGTGAACAAATAATTATTGTGTCTTATTGAAAAGGTTACAAACTTTCATAAAAGTCAAAATTTTTCATAAAAGTCGCAACTTTTCATAGAAGTCACAACTTTTCATAAAAGTTGCAACTCTTCAAAAAAGTCATAACTTTTCATGAAGGGGAACATAAGCAATGGTGTAAGTGAGCAACTCAATAGGAGAAAAGTACACAAATGTTTACTTGTGTAGAAGAAGAATAAGAAGTTCAGAATTTTTGTTGTTTTAAAATGAGAGAAAATTCTTCTATTTATAGAGGACAAAGGGTAGTGTGAACAAATGTTTGTTGTGCCTTATCGGAAAGGTCACAACTATTTGAAAAAGTTGAAACCCTTCGGAAAGGTTATAAAGTCACAACTTTTTCATAAAAGTCACAACTTTTCATTGAAGTCGCAATTTTTCATAAAAGTCACAACTCTTCATAAAACTCACAACTTTTCATGAAAGGGGAAATATAATTTTGGAAATAAATAAATTTAAAAGGAAATTCTTGCTTGTGATGGCGCCACGTAGGCGGGCCTAGAATTATCTTTTATATAAATATACGATATATAATATTAGTATTATTATGTAATTAGCCATTATTTATCGTAACTCGATTATGGTATTATTTCGTTACTATTAAGTATTACTTTTTCACCTCCATAATATACTTTTTTTCTTTCTTTATCATTTCTTAAACCCACTAAACCCTCCCCTTATCCTCTCTCTCTCACCACAATGCTCACTACAGCAGCAGCTACGATGGCCGGCTCAGCCACTCCCTTGCAGTCGACCTCCGTATCTCTCGCCGCCGGCGAACTTTCCTTATCAATCGCAGTACTTAAACCAACAAACCTCGCCGGCCGTTCATCCACTTTCCGCCGCAACTCCAGCCTCCATTCCATCCGGGTTGGGAATACAAATTCGGGTCGGGTCAATACTATTGTGTGCAAAGCTAACCGGTCCGCATACTCGCCACTGAATTCCGGGTCGAACTACGGCGACCGTCCACCGACTGAGATGGCTCCGCTTTTCCCCGGATGTGATTACGAACACTGGCTTATAGTTATGGATAAGCCTGGAGGTGAAGGTGCTACTAAACAGCAGATGATTGATTGTTACATACAAACATTGGCTAAAGTAGTTGGGAGGTAGTTTTTGCTTCACTTACCTTTTTTTCAAGCGTTTAATTCAATAATTTTGTTGGTAGAAAGTCACTATCTAGTTGAGTGTTGCCTCTTATCCTTTCACACTGATAGTTATAGTATTAGGCCTGTAGTTTATTGTTATTTGGTTTCTGTTATCTCAATTATTGTGTTATTTTGTTTTTTAATTGTTAAAGGATGTTTTGTCATGCTTTTTTTTTTCTTTTTTGCCATGGCTTCTTTACTCCCCTTAGGGTATCCAATACACTCTACCCTTCCCTGAACCCACTTCTAGAATTACACTAGATATGTTGTTGTTGTGATTTTGTTGGGTTATTAACTTTGATGTGCTTATTTTCCTCTTTTCAACTGTTGCTTAAACATTTTCTTTAATCACTGTTTTTTTATGGAGTATAAAAGTCAAATTAACATTTCAAACTCCATACTTGGTCAACACCGTCACATGAAATGAAGCAAATAGATTGCCCTCAGGGCTTCGGTGGTAAGAGGTTAGCTTGTGATGTGTGAGCTAAGGTGCATATTATGGGTTCGAACCTTGTGGCACAGTGAACAGAAATCTGGTATTAAAGTGGAGAAGGGTAGAAGGAGAGGTTCATTATTCACCAAATTTAGAACAGTGCATAATTGGCCCTTGGGGATTCCTCGGTTATCAGAAAAAAGTAGAGAGGGATAGTGGGATAGGCCTATTATCCACGGAGTTTCGAACCGTACGCCATGGGCCATTGTCGGTTATACAGAAAAAATGAAACAGATAGATTAGTTTAGTAGCGATACTCTGCAACTATTTATTTGTAATCTTGGACCTGCACTATGCTATCCCACTTGTGTCTTGGCTGCTCTGTTTCTGAAAATGAAAAAAATATTTTCTGGAGATTGCAAATTCTAATTTATTAGTTTGTCTCTTGTTTAAATAGTGAAGAAGAGGCCAAGAAGAAGATATACAATGTTTCATGCGAAAGATACTTCGGTTTTGGATGTGAGATTGATGAGGAGACATCGAATAAGCTTGAAGGTTAGTGTGTGGATCAAATTGATTCCATAAGCAAGAGTTTAATTATGCCAGTCACCATGTTTCTTAAAGACTGTATTCTTTGAAATCTGTACAGGTTTGCCTGGTGTTCTCTTTGTCCTACCAGATTCATATGTCGATCCTGAGAACAAGGATTATGGAGGTACATCTTTTCCCTCTGCTGACATTCCTGTTTTAGAAGCAAAATATGAGCTTTTCTTTGTTTTGTATCTGGTCTAATGGCGGAGCCACTTTTATGCTAAGGGGTGTCAATTCATCAGAAAATTAATTTTAGTTTTATGTATAAATACTATATGTTGGCGCTCCCCTTATTTTTTACACATGCCTATTTTTTTTTTTATATATATATATTTTGACACCTCTCAGTTTAATTCCCAGTTCCACCGCTGAAATCTGGTTTATATACCTTAGTGGTAAATCCTACATGGCTAGATGTCCCCTTTTACCCTGCATGCTATCATGGATCAAAAACTAGCCGTGATTGAGTTACTGATAGATAGCAATTGTATCATTATTTAAGCTATCCCAAGGGTTCACAATGTGTCTCCAATCTATAATTCTTCTTTCTCTTTTCTCCAAGCTATAATCCTTCCAGACCATTGTGTGCTCTTCAACTATTCCAACGATTACCTGTTACCTCCCTCTATTGGGTAGTTTGCCTACCAAGGCTTAGGCAGTTAGGAAGATATCACCTAGTGTTTTTGTCTCTGTTGGGATTTGAACCTTGGTTTCCGAGTGTTATCTACTCGAATCTCTTGGAACTTGTAAGTCATTGATTACTTGGTCGATAATAATAGTAGGCTGCTTACTGATGATGTACTGTGTTTCTGCTAGGAAAAGCAAGCTCAGAAGTATCAGATTTCCTCATCATAGAGGAGAAGAAACCCTCACTATTTGAGTACTTGTGTTTAATTGTTTCTCCTGTGTATGATCCTTTCAAGAACCATCAAGGCGATGGACCTTTAGTAGGATGGAACTACTGGAGGGTTTAGTCAGTGTTTTATAGCAATAATAGGAAGGAAGTGTTTGAACCACTTTGATCTAATTGGCTTTTCCCACCCCCAGCCCGAGTCCTACTTATGTGCATGTTCAACTTCCTTTTGTCTGCTTCCTTGATTACCCTCAACTGTCAACTTCACTGACCTTGCAATTCATTTGTTTCCTCATTTTCAGTTCTTGCAATTTTCATAAGATTGACGATCAATAAACAGATGAAAAACTGACAACAAAAAGCTTCTTTTGGCATTATGTTAGCAATCATAATTATCTGCCCGTATCTCCTCGTCACATGTGTGTTTAGGAGATCCTTTTGTATATGCTTAAACAATCAATCAACGATGCCTCAATCATATTTTTCTCTGATAGGAAGTGAAGTAAACATCAGCATCTCATACTTTATGCTCAAATATTTGTAGCACATTTGGTTCTTTTCTCGAGTATTTTGGCGTATGGCCCGGCAATTAAGAGTACTAGACATAGTTTATTGTAATTGAAACAAGGAATTTGAAAATATTAACATGTCCTGAGATCCCTAACATCTTTTCTAATCTGATGACTGTCTGTCAGCTGAGCTATTTGTGAACGGAGAGATAGTTCGAAGGTCACCTGAAAGACAAAGGAGAGTGGAGCCAGTACCCCAGAGAGCTCAAGACAGACCCAGATATAACGACCGAACACGTTATGTAAGACGCCGTGAGAACACGCGGTGAAGACTGACCTCAATGTGATAGTATTGCAATAACAACTATACCTCAATCCCAAACAAGTTGGGAGAAAAATCTTGTTGTGGAAAGATAATTTATTGGTTGTTCTGTTAACTATTGTTCTGTGCTAATGGAACATTTGATGATTTTGTTTGACCTCTTTGAAAATTAGGTACTTGATAGTCATGCAAGTTCATTGATATGTAAAGTAATTAGTTTTCTTTGTTTGTTCTACTAATTCTGCTCTGTTAAATCATTTGAATTAGTAACATTTCATTCACACAGATCATCCAACTTGTGTATCCACAAGTAAGATCTTACAAAATACGACACAAGCTGGATCAGCACATCATACACACACATTGCTACACTTTTTGGATAGTCAAGAATGAATTAGTAACATTTCGATTCTCACACAACTGATTTAAGTTTGTTTCCCATGACGGAGTTCTAAGAAGAAGAAAAAGTGAGCCAAAAAGATGGAGTAAGGGCTATTTTTAACCCATGAGGGGTATATTTTAAACCTTTTCAAAAGTTCAAGGGTATTTTTGATCCTTTTTCGATATTAATACCGACCATAGAAAGGTTTCACATCACCTTTTCTATTTTTAGCTTTATATATATAGATTGGAAGATGAACAAGACGAAAAAATCATGAATTTAGTCCAACAATATATAATACAAAGAATACACATTTAAGAGACTTTATAGTGGTTAAAAATGTACAAATATGATGATTTACTATTTAATATTCAATTTATTAAATAATTTATAACATTTATATTTAATGTAGGGTAAAACCGTAATCTAACTTTTGCCTAAAATTCTTCTCACGAAAGAAAAACTTTCCTCTTTTGACAAAAATCTCTCTATTCTGAATCATTTGGAAGCACCCGGATTTGAGCAATCTGTTCAAATGTATGTACAAACAGGTAGTCATCTGAAGGGTTCAATAGGCTCACTTTCTTCCAGAAACCAAGCTGTTTCAAAGCACTCAGCTGCTTCCATTGCTGAACCTTCCTCTTTGTAAATCAGGCCAAGATTATGCCAAGCAGCAACATTCGTCCGATCAAGTCGCAGTGCTCCTCTCAGATAACTTATAAGAGTTGCAGGAGAATGGTTACCAAGCTGCCTAAGTACCACTGCAGTTGATATTAGACTTGGCACGTGAGACGGATCAACAGCAAGAGCGTTTGTGAAATCTGTTAATGCAGCTTTGTGAAGGCCCTTTGACTGATGAAGCAAGCCTGTAAAATATACCTCAATTATCAAAATGGCAAGCTTAGAAGTGTGCAGAAGCATGTTCATCATGCTACAACATAGAGTAAACATTATCATTTGTAGTCCGAGAAACATCGTAGAAGTTCCGAGTACATGATAGGGGCTAGAATTAAAAGTATTTTGACCTTCTAGATGCTAAGGAGGGAGTAAGTACACTATAAAGCCGGTAGCTAGCCCAAATAAGAAATATGTGATCACTACATAAACAAAACCTTGTAACTTCAAAGATGACTCCTGATGTCTGAAGCAAAAACTAATTACGTAGAAGAAATTGGTGGAAAAGAAGTAGGTTCATCCTCCAACATCCATATATGCACAACCAGGGGTGACAGGTGACAGGTGACATGGAAGAACCAATCAACATTCTACTCACAATTTCTCTGAAAAATCAGATGCTGGTGTGGATATCTGATACTAACAACGAAAAATTGAGCATAGCTAATCGACAGATAAGCCACACAGAAAAAATTGAGTCAATAGAAAGAGTCACTCCCTCGGGTCTGACAAGGTCCCATGGAATATAGGTATTACTATCACTTCCATATTACCAGATTATGTTAATTTAAGAGGAAAGAATGGACCGCTGAAGACATTGCAAAATATATGTTTGTATCAGACAGGAATACAATACTGCTAGAGCTATTGCAGAACTCTTGGGACGTTTAAATTTTCCCAGGATACCAGTAATAAAATGCAAAGCCTATGGGATCACAAAGCTAAAATTATCATATCCGCCACATATGTTTTCTTCCTTGGCTTTCATATATAAGAAATAGCCAAATGACTCTATATTGCATACGGACTGTAATAACCTTTTATTGCTTTCTCATGAATATTATAACAATAAAAATGTAGCATCTGAGACACGTGGATATGTTAGGATAGTAAGCGCTAAGCAATGCATGAGGAGAAAATGAGTGTGAAATATATCTACCAGCAATATACAATCTAGAAGCGGAATAACAACTAATGGCTTCAGATTTGGAAAGACAGAACTCTGCATCTTGCCACCGGGATGATTTAATGTAGATGGAAGCAAGATCATGCCAGGTTTCCAGCTCCATAGTTCTATTGAAGTCTTTCTCCTTCTGTTACATAAATGATCATCAAACGCCATATCTTCTTTCTTTTTCAAAATAATATAAGATAATAATCATAATTTCATGAGGGGGTAGAAAGGGGTAGCACACAAGACAACAGAAAGAGATTTGTAAGAAAGAAGGATAGTTAAGTCGAATTTGCAAGCTTTGTTGCAGATTAAAGAGCAAAAGAAGAGCACGGAAGCAGCGGAATAAGATCTGCTTGCTTAAAAACAATAGTTTAAGCATGTGTGGCTTTTCAGGTAGCATGGTCTCTTTGTAATCAATCTCTTTGCAAACCTCATCGTCAATGACTGGGTTAATAAACTATAAAGAACTCCATGATGGTGGATGAAATAAATGGCAAGCAAGGGCTAATCAGTCGAATGTTCAAGTTAATGTACCAACTTCAAATTAATTTTTTAACTTGATATAACTCTATTCTAGGGAAAGAATCTAAGTGACTGACAGATAATTTCCACCTACCACCAAGTCTCTAAGAAACTAAAGAATTAATTTGAATCCTTCCATATAATGAAAACTTGTTAGCAGCACGGGAGGATATAGCCAACATATAAAAATTGCCTCTACCGGTAAAAGACACAAAGAATCTTATAAAGCGAGCCTACCCCCACCTTCCTTCCCCAACCCCCAAAAAGTGAACGTTTCATTTGAACCATACTTAAAACTTAAAAGGTACTATCAGACAGCTGGGCTTCAATAGAAAAGGTTATGCTTTAGACTACCCCTATACTCCCCGATTCAAAATGGCTGCAAGAGCAAAATTAGTTCAATGTAGACTTTTATCTTAAAGTCATCTCAAGGAAATATGTTCCTAGAGGCTACAACACATGTATATATGTTCAGCCACAGATCAGTTCTCTGGAATAAATCCATTGCATACATTCAAATCTTCCCCTAAGGGACTTTTGATCTGCGAAGTGAGGTTAACTCTATAGCTTTTTCCATAGACATGGTATTAACCTATACCATTCTGGGCTCATTTCTAGCTTGACAGCTGCCTCATCAACAAATGCTCCTTAGAAGCAGCTCGAATTCTACTCAATTAATCTGACATAGGTATAGTTATTTCATTTGTAACCCTGTTGCAGGCTATTCAAGCACCCAACATGGAAATGATGCACTCTAGAAAATGGTCCATTCACCTCATAAGGGCAATTGACTTACCTTGAGATTTTCCTCCAATCCAAAGCTCTTTCTCTGGATCTGAAGATCAACAAGAAGCTGAACATATGTTCCTATAGCATTTTTCACTTGGCCTTGTGCAATTTGGAGCTTAGCTTTGGTTCTCAACAAAGCTCCCTGATCCCACTTTCCGCTCTGATCTACAGCTTCATCAATGATAGTTTCAGCTTCTGGAAACTTTTTTTGAGCTGATAACACCCGAGCCCACAGCATCCACCCCTTCAGAGTAGACTCACCTTCCAATTCAACAAAGCACCTTGCATAATGGAGTGCAGTATCCAAGTTCCTTTGCTCCGCATTTTCTACACAAAGATGGTAAATGACATTGGAGTCATTCATCTTTGTCAGTCTCCCAGCAGATTCCAAGGATTGAAGTGCCTCTGATTGCATCCTAACCCTCTCAGAATCTGTCATCGCTGCTCTAGACTGTGCTGAAAGTGAAAGACCTAAGACATAGTTTGCAACACCCATCAGGTGATTGCATCTACCTTGCAAACTTTCAATGGCTCTACGAGCAAAATTTATGCCATCTTCTGCACATTCTAAGCTTTCAGCACAGATTCTTGAAGCCAGTAACAAACCTGGAACACAAGTGGGATCCTCGGCACTACTCAATAGTTTCCGCAACAAGTTCAAGGCGGTGAAATTATCTCCTTCTCCGTAATAACAGAGAGCTAAGATATGATGCCTTTCACACAGATCTATATTCCTAGGAAGCAACTCTTCTACTTGGTTAGCCAGAGCCCATAGGCCACCTGAGATAGATAATGCGTAAGAGAGATGGTCAACAATCGAAGGATCCCACTCTATAATTTGTAGAGTAACCTTTCTCAATAAAATCATTAAGAGAAGAATGGCCTCTTCAATATTGGTTCGGGGAACAAATGAACTGTCCATTTGGAATCTGAGACTAGGGGGATTGTATTCATTTCCGCTGTATAGAAGAAAAATCGCAAACTCTTTTTTAATCTTTGCATTAGTTTGAACATCAAGATTCCACTGACGAAGTAGAGCTCGGCGGTATGACATAATTGCTTCCTTCGGAGCATCTGCAAGTATCCATAATTGTGGAAGCAGCTCGACAGCATTGCTGAGAGTCTCCTGCAATTTACAATCAGCACCAAAGTTTTCAGGCAAGCCTTCTGGTAATGAAGATTCAACAATGTCCAGAATAACAGTGCATGATTGAGCAGCTTCTGCAAAAATATTTGGAGAATGCATCAGATGAAGATGTCGAATATGTAATTCCTAATCATGCTGTGTTCACAATCACATATAGACACGGCATGGTAAGAATGTAAAAAAATCTGCTGCAGGAAAGATGTGTGCTTGTAAGGTTTCTCAGAAGTAACATACACTATTCTCATACTACCCTACAAGTGAGATATCTAACTGAAAAGCCAAATTATGAATTAAACCAGATCATTTTGGAGAAATTAACACGTGATTTAAAAGAATAAATAAGACCAAACAATGAACTAAACAAGCACTAGCAATCAACAAAAACAGATAATAATTCACATTGTCCCATGGAAGGCCCCAAGGATGGATACAGTTATGTAAGAGAGCCAGCGCAAACTTCAACAGAGTTGAACTAAACTTTTACATATAAAAACATTTGCAAAGAAACCCGATTGATAACATAACACAAAAACTTTAGCATACTGAACAAAGTTGTCCTAACTGAAAATGATCATCATATTGAAACACGTAAAACATAGATATTACAACAATAACTAATACGCCTCAATGCAAAGCTTGTCAGTGTTTGGCTGTATGAATTGTTGTAATTCATTTTGCTCTGTTTGAACCCATGTAAGAAATAATGTTTATTCAAAAAGTGAACTGAAAAACTACCATGTATAGTCTTACCTTTAAACCTCCCAAGAGCCTGCAATGATTTTGCTTTAAGAAAGACTGCTTCCAGGAGCAAACTCACAGCATGTATGGACATTGGTGGTGGATCATACTTCTGCGAACGTCTCTTTTGAATTTGAGCTCTTTTAGCAAGGGTGACTTTCATTTTAGTCGTCACTGAGGCAATATCTATCCCTTCAAACACATGTAGAGCAGCCTCTATGTTGCCGTTTTGGTACTCATATCTTCCAAGCAATGCCCTTGCTTCCTAGAAATTAGATGAAGTTTAACTGTCAGATGAATGAATAATAATAATTGTAATACATGCCATTGAAACTTGAAATGGTTTAGGATGAGATGGGACACTACACAAAAGGAAAATTTAATATGGTACCTCATAATTCAAAGCACCACTCTCGCGCAAAGATGATTCAGCTTCTTCAATATTGCCAGTGTCTCCGGCTCTTGATGAACGGACACTTGCCCTGTAATCCTTAGTCGCAGGGGAATCAGGCAATGGAACCATGTCACCTCTCTGTAATTGTTCGCCCGAGCAGAAGCACTTCATCATCTTCCTCAACTTCAAACTTTTCTGAGCCTTCCCCGGCTTGTTGACCCAATTATCATTCTCCATATTGTACCAACTCCCTCACGATGCTTTAACAGCAAGCAACACCAACAACAATGAGTTTAACTCGTTTGCCCAAAGAACTCATAACTAAGAAGATTCAACCAGAACCAACTTTTATGCAATAATTACAAACCTAAAGTTAGGACACACAAACTCAGGACCCATCATATAGCAACCAACAATGGACAAGTAAAGAAAGAAGGGGTTGAGGAATTTTACTTTTCACTGTTTAAGAATGAAGGATATAGTGGTGAAAACAACATAACATAGCCAGATCAGTTCCCATATTTTTATTTGCAATCAAAATTCCATTTTGATCAAAAGGGTAGTCTATGATCAACCAATAACTCAAAAGAAAAAACAATAAAACCCCTACTCCTTCTCTTTTGCACCTCCTTTTGTGGAATTACGCAGGGTATGTTGTTGTTGAATCTGTGCCCATTTCTACAGGGCATGAACTTGAACTCCAAACAACACAATAAGGATGAAAGCTAAGGAACTCATAACCAAAAAGATTCATCTATAACCAACTATTACGCGTTAATTAGAAGCCTAAAATAAGGATAAACAAACTCAGGACCCATCATTATATACCAACTAACAATGCACAAGCAAAGAAAGAAGTGGTTAAGGAATCTTACTTTTTACTATTTGAAGAATAATGGAAACAGTGATGAGCACTTCCCATATTTTTTATTTGCAAAAATCAAAATGGATCAAAATTCCATTTTGATCAAAAGGGTATTCTCTAATCAACTAACAATCCCCAAAATCTTCAACAAAATCCCTACTCCTTCTCTCACTTTCTTCTCTCTTCTAGGCAACTTTGCAAAATTCACAGAGTCCCTAAATTGAAATAGTGATTTGGGTCTCTGTGGATTCTCTAATCAATCAATAATTCAACAAAACATCACACCAAACACACCCTTTTTCTCACTTTCTTCTTCTTAATAGTAAAATTCTCAACTTTGCAAAATATGGGTCTCAATGATCAACCAATAATCCAACAAAACATCAAACCAAACACACCCTTTTTCTCACTTTCTTCTTCTTAATAGTAAAATTCTCAACTTTGCAAAATATGGGTCTCAATGATCAACCAATAATCCAACAAAACATCAAACCAAACACACCCTTTTTCTCACTTTCTTCTTCTTAATAGTAAAATTCTCAACTTTGCAAAATATGGGTCTCAATGATCAACCAATAATCCAACAAAACATCAAACAAAACACACCCTTTTTCTAACTTTTTTTCTTCTTAATAGTAAAATTCTCAACTTTGCAAAATATGGGTCTCAATGATCAACCAAGAATCAAACAAAACACACCATTTTTCTCACTTTTTTCTTCTTAATAGTAAAATTCTCAACTTTGCAAAATATGGGTCTCAATGATCAACCAATAATCCAACAAAACATCAAACCAAACACACCCTTTTTCTCACTTTCTTCTTCTTAATAGTAAAATTCTCAACTTTGCAAAATATGGGTCTCAATGATCAACCAAGAATCCAACAAAACACACCATTTTTCTCACTTTTTTCCTCTTAATAGTAAAATTCTCAACTTCGCAAAATATGGGTCTCAATGATCAACCAATAATCCAACAAAACATCAAACAAAACACACCCTTTTTCTAACTTTTTTTCTTCTTAATAGTAAAATTCTCAACTTTGGTACTATGAGTTTGTGTGACAACTCAATGATCAATCAATAATCCAACAAAACATCAAATTAATTCCCTTTTTCTCTTCTTTTCTGAACAAATTTCTCAAACTCCATGATTCACAAAATCTCAAAATTCAATGATTTGGATTCTGCATCAATCAAGAATCCCACAAAATCTTTCAATTTTGTTAATTTGAATTGTGATTTGGGTATTTGTGAGGATATTTGAAATGGGTTTTGCGTAGAAAAGACTAGAAAATCGCAAATGGTATGAAATAGTGAAGAAGAGGATTCTACTACTATGAGGAAAGATATGGAATAAAGGAAAAAGCAGTGGGTGGGATTTGGAAAAGAAGATTTTAGAATGGGACCAATCTGTAATTTAATAAACTTTCTAAAATGGTTAAGCTTCTGCCACCTGGAATAGTGGAATTATTTTTTCATTACACTTAGTATTATTTTATATCGTAAGCCGTTTGATAGTGATTTCTTTTGTTCGGTAGAGCGACAAAAGGCAACTTTAATGATGGAAACAATTGAAAACTCAAGAAGGTCGTCTTTGAAGAAGCGTTTACACTGATTGAATTCAGTCGTTTATTTTTTGAAATATTATGTATGTCTTAATATAAAATTACAAAAATCAAAATCTTCTTTATTTTTTAAAATTTTGTTTCTAATTAAACTAAGATACTTGAATTAAAATGGAAAGAGTATTTGTTAAAATTTTAAGAGGTTGTTTGGTATAAGAACTGAGATAAGTAGAGATATCCCATAGGACTACTTTACCTCACCTTTCATATGGGTTCGTAATTCATCATCTTAGTATAAACAGTGTGATAAAATAATCTCAAAATTAGCTAATACCTCATATCTAACATGGAATAAAATTAATCAAAATTATTTTCCTTATTCCACGTATCAAGCGATCCTTAAGTAGATTTTCGCACATTCTCACATACGCAAACACATATAAAAAATAGGTAGAAGTCTAAAACCTTGTCCATAAATTATGTGAATGTTTTTAAATAAGTATTTGTTTATCAAAGCCATACATTATTTCAATTTTCCGAACTTGAAATATAGAACTTTGAATATGAAAAATAATAACATTTTCAAGTTCTTTTGTTTATTTTTCAACCACAATTACTTCAATTTTCAAATATCGTTTTACAACTTAAGTTCAATTATATATGTTTTTAAATATGAATCAATTCATGTTCCTTTTTATAATGTACTACCTATACTAATTAATGTTGTTTTTTCTTCAGCATATATATAAACAAAAATAAGAGAAAACCACAATATCATATCAATATCAATTTGACTTTGAGAAGTTGACATCTTATTACATATTTTTATAGTAATATATTTGGTTTGATTTTGCATAAATTTGTCTATGTGGCAGTTGACTAGTTATTTTAATTTATATTTTTCCTTTTCAGGCCACTTTCATCTCTCACAAAAGATGGGGATAGATAGTGATGATGATAGTTGAATTATTGGGGTCTCTAGCAAGGTGTGTGATGTATATAGTCTACTCTAATGCAAGCATTATTGGTTGCTTCCACGATTCAAATTTATGACTTATAAATCACACAAATACAACTTAGCTATGAAATTCACTAAGGTGCCAAAATATGAAAACCCTTCAAACCATTGAACAATATTTCATCAAAAAGGACCAAAATTTCCTAACGTTTGTGATTTGTCTTATATATGCCCTTCATTAACCTATCGACTCATAGATGTCCCCAACATTATCTTCAGTCTCAAACATATATACCCTTCGTTGACCTATCGACTCATGCAAGCTACAAAACACACATAGTATCAAAAAAGTTAGATTGTACACATTATACAATACACACTCTACAAATTGTGAATGATAAACTTTTGTGTGGTCTCAAAAGTAGTTTTGCAATTCACTAAGCTGCCAAAAAATAAAAATGTAAACTTTTTAAGTACATTACATTGTTGTTGTTTTTTCACTCCTCTTGTTTTTCTTTAGAAATTCCACTACTTTCACTTTCCAATCCAGGACTTGACTCTGTAGTTTGTGTTGTGCCTTTGGATTTTGATGGTCGATTCAAGCCACCATCCTCCTTGGACTTCTTTCTTCGCGATTTTTTAGGGATATCGGGGTTGTTTTTGCTCGAGGATTCACTCAATTTGGTTCCATCGGACGTGTCCTTGTTATGATGTCTCCTGGAACTCCTGGATTTTGTGCCAGGCTCTTTGTTTGTAGTGTTTTCATTGCTTCCATTTTCTGATGTGGAATGTTTCCTGGATGTTCTTGGCTTCTCTTGTTTTTCTTTGGGTGGTGAAGAATTTGCATTTCTTGACCTTCTATTTGAATCTGCAATTTCCATGAAACATATTGTGTAAAAAGAATGAAAAAAATATTGATCCTCTTGAAGTAATAGGCGAATCTAAGATTTAAAGTCTCGAGTTGGTGTGCTATTATATGAGATATATCTTCTTTCAGAGAGTTAAAGTGTCAAAAACACATCTAAAGTATCTTGTTTTTTGTTAGTTTCCTACCTAAAATATCACCAAATGTTTATCGAAACACACCTCAAATATTAGTTGTTCACTTTTCGTACCCTGAATGATGATGCTATTTCAGATAGGAAAAGCGAACAACTGATAGTTAAGGTAGAAAACTAACACTTGATAGTTCAAATATGAAACTCAAAAAGTCACATAGGAAAAGCGAACAACTAATAGTTCAGGTAGAAAACTCACACACCTGATAGTTCAAATATGAAACTCAAAAAAGTCAGGAAGGAAAAGCGAACAACTGATAGTTAAGGTAGAAAACTCACACACCTAATAGATCAAATATGAAACTAAAAGAGTCGGGATATGTTAGCTGTGTTTTTGACCCTTCATTATTTTTTTTGTACACATTCTTATTTTTCACACATAAATGATTCGAGGAGAATACTATGAATGTGATCACACATGTTGTAACCATTTCTTTGATAATTAAGAGATCCTTCAAGGTCAGTCACACGATTCGAAATTTGGTAGATAAAAGGATTCGTCCCTTTGTCCTTCTACACTTAATACTAAGTTTTTCTTTGCGATAGGGTTTAATCCCATAACGTGTGTCTAACCAACACATCATAATTTCTGGTCTGACTAATTCATATTTACACCGAAAAGATGAGTAATAAGAAGGGGAGAAAAGCAACACACCTTGAGAAACCCATTTAATATCAGGATTTTCTTTATGTTCTCCAGGAGGAGGAATTAAAGGTGCTGATTGAAATGCTCCTGGTGCTATAAATTCTTTCATCTGCCAAAAAAAAAAAAAATTGGTGATTACACAATAATAAAATTGGGTTTATTCATTAAAAAGAATCGATTCAATACATTTCTGGTAACGATTATGGTAAATCAAGTAGTAAGATAAGATGAATGTTTGAAATTGAATCAATTCAATACATATCTTGTGGTGAATCATGTAATAGCATAAGATGAAAAAATGAAACTGAATATATATATTTATTTATTTATTTTAAAAAAGAATTGATTCAACGGACTTTTTCAGTGACTCTGGTGAATCAAGTAGTAGGATAAGATGAAAATTGAAATCGACTATATGGTGAGGTGAATCACTAGTAGAATACAAGAAGAAGAACGATGAACACAAGAAATGTAACAAGTAAAAGAAAAGGAAAAAAAAACTAGGTGATTACACAACAAAAAAATCAAGTCTAGCTATTCATTAAAAGGAATCGATTCAGTATATTTCTTATAGCGACTATGATGAACCAAGTAGTAGAATAAGATGAAAAGTCAAAATTTGATTTATCCATTGAAAAAGAATCGATTCAATACATTTCTTTTAGTGAATTCAATAATTAGAATAAAATAAAAATTGATGAACACAAAAAAATACAACAAGTAAAAATATAAATATATATATATATATATATATATTTACCCAGGTTGGATTATCAACTGATGGACCATCCCATCCTATATGTGCAACATGTTTTACATCTGTTGGAAAACCAATTTGCATATCTTTTTCTTTATCCTCATCTGCACCAAATAATAGAATAAATATAAACGATTCATACAAACGATCTCAACTTATTCAGAATCGAATCATACTCGATTGTTGAATTTTAAGACTTATTGACACTCATTAATACCCGCAAATGATGAATATGAAGAATTTATATAGTCGGTTTCAACTATTTTAACCTCATAGAACAATTATTTTCAAGAATCTAAAAATACCTCCAAATGATGAATATGAAGGATTCATACTGTTAATTTCAACTATTTCACCGTCATAGAACAATCATTTTCAAGAATCTAAAAATACTAACAAATGAAGAATATCAAGGATTCATATAGCTTGTTTCAACTATTCACGTCGTCATAAAATAATTATTTTAAAAATATATATAAATTACCCCCAAATGATGAATATCAAGGATTCCTATAGTTTATCTCAACTTTTTCATATCGTCACAAAACAATCACTTTCAAAAATCTAAAAATACCCCAAAATCGTGTTTATGAAGTTTTATATAGTTTATCTCAACTATTTTAGACAATCACAAAACAATCATTTTCAAAAATCTGAAACAGTTGATCTCAACTATTTCACCGTCATGTAACAATCACCCCCCTCCCCCCTTCTTCCTTACTGGTAGCGCAATCTTCTTTTATGACCTTCACCCCTTTCAAAATCTAAAAATACCCATAAATGATGAATACGAAGGATTTATACCGTCAATTCAACTATTTCACGTTGTCATAAAACAATTATTTTCAACAATAATCTAAAAATACCCACAAATGAAAATGTGAAATAATTGAAAATATAATTTACTTACCAAAAACTTGAGAAATGTACCTAAGGCCTTTAAGAAGGCCTTTCACCTTTGTGGACATAATCTCAACTTAGGTGAAAAATTAATCAAGAATCTGATATTTTCATCTGAAATCAATCATTTGATTATGTGTAGAAACTCAAAACAAAAAACAAAATAAAAAATGAGAATTTTGAATTTTTATTTCAAGTGAACAAATGTTTTCTTGAATTTGTAAGTATAAATTCAAAGTATAAATACATTTCAAGAAATTAAATGGATTCAAACCCTAAAAATGAAATTTAGGTTTGACTCCTCTTTAATCATCACAAAGGAAAAAACATGTTAAAGCAACATTTTCATCAATTCAATGGCAATGAATTAATGGTCATTCATAACCAGAAGTATCCCATAATATTAGGAATGATAATTATTTAACATTTTTTAAAGTTTATTTTTTATTATTTAAGAGATTCTTTTTTATATATTTTACTCTTCAGAATCTTGCTTCTGACTTTTTTCATTAGCTGTCAAATTTTTTGAGGCCTAATGGTGGCCACTACAATGTAATGGTAGCACTTTCTTATTTGTAAACATTTTTTATATGTGCAAATGAAGAAGAAAAAGCATTTTAAAAATAATCAAAGATTGGTGACAACGGCGATTTAGAATTGTTGAAGAAATTACCAACTGTAACTATCTAACTGCACTGATCGGGGTCGATCTCACTGACCCTTGCTTCACCACGCCCAAGTCGAAGGTTAAGAAAAGTAGAATAAGGTGAAGGCGGACATTACTCATCCAGAGCTTGGTTAAGTGTCCAAGACCGTACACCTTGCTGATTAGATCTAAATCTGCTCTATAGTTATCTAATCTCTTTCTTTTTCCTATCCTTCCCTACGAAGGGAAGTACAAACGAAGCTAGTTAGGATAAATTGTACACAAATTCTCTAACAAGCATAAAATTTTATATACGTATCGTCATGTGACTAAATCGCAATTTCAATAAATTGTTAATTTCGTCTATTTGGAACTTTTATTGTAGTGACAAGTATTGTTATGCTTTCACTACGTCTACATTATTTCAACAAATTGTAACATTTTCGAGTTGATTAAATTTTATGTGATATTGATTATTGAGTATAATTCGTCATCTTTTAAAACCATAAAGACAATTTTGTAGGAATTTGAAATAAAAAATGAATAGAATTTTTTTAAATTTCCAATGATATACTATATACATAATCTTTAAAAAGGATATCTTGACTATTAATAAAGATAGATCTAAATAAAAAAAATTAACGTGTCAGCCAATACTAGCTTAGTAGACACATGTAAATAATAGTCATAAATTTAAATAAGACAAGTTTTTTTTTAAAACAAAAAGTTTCTTATAGAAATAATATAATCATGTTCTAAAAATCTCTTGTGAACAAACTGAAAATCTTATAAGAAACTATTAGCTCAAAATTTAAAATTTTATTAGTTATTCCAAATGTTAGACGATAGTCTAATATTTTATCTATAAGGTTGAATATTACATAAACGAACATTAAACCTGAGTCTTGATGTTGAATGAGTAATTTTTCAAGAACTACATTTGTACCAACTTTTAAAAATAAAAACAATTCTAAAATCTAAATGACAACCTAAAAAGAGACATTTGTGTAAATCAACCTACCTTTTGTGCAAGTGAAACTTTGTTACTATTTCAAAGATCTTGTAAATGATGTGAAGACGAGCAAAATGATTTATTTTTTCCTCCGATATTTCTTGTTTAATCAAGTGTCTGAACCAAAGGTTTCGTGTTCAAGTACCCCTGAATATAAAGTCGTTTTGTTAGCAAATGTTTACCCTCAATGTAAAACTTTTCTACGTGAATTCAAATTTAATCAAGCTTCAACACGGGTACCAAACACTAGTGAAAAACCTTAAAGAAAAGGATTATTTTAGAGTCCGGGACAAACCGTAAAATCGATGCTTGCACTAGGATAGAATGTCAACATCACATCCTTAGAGTGTGAGCTCTTCCCTAAACCCAACATGAAAGCGGAATGCTTTGTGCAGAACAGCCCATTTAATAATAATCCTTTTAATAAACATCTAGTGGTGAATGATCATATCTTAGATAGGAAAAACAGAAATTCTAAAAATAAGATAAAATGAAACATATGGTATGATCTATGATGTTCCAATATTTTTCAGATTGAGGAATGTGATTCAAATATTACAACCAAAGCACATCATGTACATCTCATAGCAAAGACTATTATGTACAAGTTCTTTTCTTTGTAATCATTAATAAATAGAACGAATTATACACCAAATGCAAGAAGGGAGAAATCACTCCCACAATAAAGAATGAGCATAAAAAGTACAGCAAAACATTGAGCAAAAGGGGTACTTGCTGCAGTGATGAATAGCAACTCCATCTAGGTCGTTTTCACCTGCATTGATGAGCATCTTATGAGCCAACTAAAATGTTTGATATCATGCTCATGTACCAGAACAAAGGCCCCGTCGAAGGGTGGAGTGGGTTTCTTTCTTGAGTTTAACGGACAATGTTAAAAGAAATTTTATACTATTGAGTCGCTAAGAGATAACAATAGGTAATCATTCATGATAACCAGGATTCGTAACTTGAAAAATAAAACAGATGACCTATTACAATAGGTTAAAATGTTGCAAGTCTACATAACTTAAATACTTTCCTCTTTTCCTTTTGGGATGTGTGAGTTGGGGGGTTGGGAGAAGCAGAGAACAGGGAACAAAGAAACGTCTTGCCTTGCTCATGTACCAGAACAAAGAGACGGGGACCGGGGGGTTCTTTATTGAGTTTAACGGACAATGTAAAAAAGTTTTTTCATACTATTTAAGTCGCATAAGAGATAACTATAGGTAACCATTCATAATGACTGGGATTCGTAACTTAAATCCTTTCTTCTTTATCCTTTGGGATGTGTGTGCTGGGAGGGGGTTGGGAAAAGCATAGAACAGGGAACATAAAAACTTGCCTTGCTCATGTACTTCTTATGAACCTTTAGAGCCTCATTTAGTGCTTTCTTTGCATCCAAATTCCCAGTTATCTCACTCAAGATCTGGAAAAAAAATGTTATTTTCAGGACCAAAGAATACAATAATGTGGAATATAGACGAGGAGAGAGATTTTATGAATACCTGGACAACATCATCAAGGCCTTTCGCCTCTTTCATAAGCTGTTTTTTCTTCGTTTCAAGAACACTTGCAACTAGGAAAACGGCAAGTGCGTCGTGCTGTTTCGTTGCACCAGTTCTCACTATTCTCCTTTCAAATTTCCCATATTGCTTTCGCTGCGTATCATTTAACTTATCGGGAAGTTGTTCCAGAGTCTTATCATACAATGAATATATGTTTGGGTTGTACTCCATGGCCCACATCACCTATATGAAGTATGTACAAAAGTAGCATCAATCAGAAGATTACAATAACTCTGACCTACATTTGCTCATCATCCTTCCCTCTTTTATAGTTGAAAATATAAATATCCTTATCCTTTCACTCGACCTTTATGTCAAACTAATTTAGGTGGTGCGCTCTTTTAAACACAAAAGGCATCAATTGCCAAGTAGAACAATCATTTCTTTCATGAAGTTAATAATTTGCCAAGTAAAACAACCATGTCTCTTAAAAGAAAATGTAGCCAGGAAAAATGTGATTAACTGAAGTGAGACACCAAAGACGGGGACAAAATATATCCGCCAACAATAAATATGAAAAGAGGTTTGGGCTTCTCACCTCCCAGAGATAGAGTGCATCGACAAATGAGAGCTCTCTCCTGAAAAGTACCATCAACATGCGTAATGCGAACAGATATTCTCCGCCATCTAGCTCCTCTGCCAATTACAATTGAAAAAGTTGGTGAGGAAGAGAGAGAGAGAGAGAGAGTAAACTCTATATCTAGACTTTCTCCTTTATGTTTTTAGATGGTCAGGCGTGCAGTTTGAGGCTTTCTTAACAATGCAGATTTCCAATATATCTCCTCCGTGAAAAAATTTCTTGTTATATTACCAACATCCCAAACAACATATATGAGAGACGTTTTCAAAATGGATCTTAGTGGTTCACAATGTTTAACTTATGATTATGAGTCTGTCCCCAACTTATAAAAAGTACAATCATTCGGGCTATCCTTCATAGAATCTGCATTTTTTCTTTTTGATAGGTGCTAGATACCATATATGTATTGCCTGCATTGCTTCAAGATAATATTTATCTTGTGATTAACAAACTTGGACTGTGTGCATTAAAAGTTTCATAAAATAAATCATGATTTCATGGAACATATCATCAGAACAAATGACAGGACTTAGAATCACTATGATAGCCCAACGTAATATGTAACGTATAAAAGACCAATATAGTTACCAGTTCCTTTATTTCCAACAACAATTATTAAGAATGTTAAGTTAGTTCAAGAACAAATAAAACTCTTATCCTTAGAGGACTCTCTTCGCTCTGTCTATATCTCTCTCCCCCAACCCCCCCACCCCTCCTAGACTCTTTTCTGTCTCTCTGAGGGGGAGGGGCGAAGGTGTCACAGGTTTGCAGTCAGTGGTCAAAAGAGTTCCAATTATTATGTATCCATTTTGTTAGTTCACATCTTCTGTTTCCAAGATGTCCAAAAGCTTCCTTCCATACAAAAAACCTCCCGGAAACTTCTATAAGGCCTATTTTAGATGTTAGTTAATCATTCTAGCATTGAGAACTGATTGGAAAATCAACAACACTGACAAGATCATGCATTTTTTACTTCTTTCATAGAAATAGCTACTGAAGAATATACAGAGAACAGAAAACCCTTACCGAGGTGTCGATGAAGCTTTGGATCGACAATTTTAACAATTTGTGCAAGGGCTCTCAGCTGAGATTGCACTCCTATAGAATTTGCGCTGGACTTGAAATTTTCTCTCTGTTGAATCGAATATGGAGTAGTTATATATGCAGTAATGGCATAAACATAGGAAATAACTAGCACACCGTTGCACAAGTTTGAATAAAGAAGTTACTAAAGAGAACATATGTATATGCACAAGTTTATCTCCCCTTTCCTTGGGGACAACAGGGTTGTTGCATGAGTATTCTGGTAATATAACCATATGAAAGCTAAATACAGTTAGAAAGTGAAACATGAAATAGGTATACATTAACTTAATGCTGGAGCGTGTGATTTATCATTACAAGAGAAACCCAAAGCAAATCATCCAGTAAAGTTCAACCAAAGGTATGACCAGAATGTGGATTTTCCTTTATTCTTTTCCTTTTGTTTTTGTGTGTATGGATGTTAAGCTAAGGTACCTCAACCAATCAGCATTATCAATGAGAAAACATATGAGCATCGAGACCAAACCTTAAGGCAATGGGTGGAGTGTCCCTGGATATTATAAAACTCTTTGGAAATCCCTTATATAACCGATTATGGACTAGTGCATTTCTTAACACCCTCTTGCACGAGTAACCTGGGTTCTAGAGTTGAAATGTGGATTTGATTTTTCTCTTATTTTTTTGCCTTCTTTATTTTTTGTTCACTCTAGCCTCCCCAGACCCACTTGTAAGATTACACTGGGTTTTGTTTTTGTTATTTTTTGTTTTTGAAGCTGAAGGGAGGAGGCTCAACAGTAAAGGGCCTGGAGTAGAGGGAGACATTAGGTTCAACAGGCTAATAGTGGGTCCGGAGCCATGTTAATTAATGGCTCAATGGGTTGAATTGAGTTAGAGAAAGAAACCCAGAGCAGCGCCATGGGCTTAGTTTAGAGAGAAGACGGAATGATAGAACATGAAGATAGAAAATGGTGGCACGAACAAGCTCACCAACCTTCGGATCTAATGCAATTTCAAAGAATCTGAGCATCCAACCCAAAACCTATGGGTGGTATGGCCCAAGAATCTATAAACCTCTTTGGAAACCCTTACACCACCAATAAGGAACAAGTGCCTCATCTAAAATCTTAAGTTGCCAAATATGGGGCACATTTATTTATTTTAGGCCGGCAACACATCATCTCACATGCGGACCTCGCTATTTTTTTCTCGGTCAAGCAAGTGAAAAATCTTTGTATAATGGGTAGCGCTAAAGCTTAAATTTATGAATCATGTGACTACCTCATATAAAACCTTGCGATGTTAAAGAAGAAACACATTTGTTTGTCTATTTATTCATATATGTTAGGTCTGCAACAAGCATGAATGGAAACAACAGGGACATACCAATCTACGCATTGCACGTTCAAAGCACCAGAATGCATCTGCTTCGTTCTCAAGAAGAAGAATTATTGGGGAGCAAATATCAGTCATTCCTGTTCAGAAAATAAGACAGAAGGTTTACAAACGGCCTTGATGTTTCAAAAAATTAGTTTCTAAATACTGCTATAATACCTTGAACATAACCAATATCTTCATCTATCCATGCATAGACAGCTAGCACATCCCAGAGTTTTGCCTGATTAGCTTGATTCTCATAAAATACAAGAGAACGATCCGTACGAACAACATCCAGACCTAAACAACGTCATAAGCCATGACAGTTTTAGATATTTTCAGGAAATCAGTCTATACTGATGCACAATCTTCCTTAAAAAGGCAAAATGAATGGCATTTCCATTTTTCCAATTCATCCATTATAATGGAACATGGACACATGAAGACTGACAAAGCTCATTTAAATTTCTTACTGTTGTTCGAAACTGACGATAGCTTTTGATCGGTCAACAACCTTCAACATAATAAACTATATGTACCATGTGGGAGAAAATCTGTCTGGAGTTGAACAACTTAAATTGGAACTTAAGTGAAATGTTGAAACTTTGAATCTAGCATCATTGGCGGGCATAATGAGAAAAAAACATGCAAGGGACTTCTGAATGACTTGATTAACAATGTACAAAAGGTGCTCCTTATATGAGTCTTAGGTTACGTATAATATGGTGGGTGATAATCCATTTATTAATAAGGCAAGTAAATATTCTATATTTGAGTACAAAATAGGGAAAAGTGTCAAAAATACCCCTCAACTTTGATTTATTAGTTGACTTCACCCTTACCGTTAAAATCAAGTTATTTATACCCTTGCCGTCTACAAACTTGTCACCCGTACCCTTCAATTGGATGGAAAATCCCAAATCAACAAACAAAACAATTTTAATTAAATTACCCGATTTCTTCTTTTAATCCAGAAGACAGACTATATAAAGGGTTTTAGTTGGAGTGCGCACATACTTAATCTACATACTCCTCCGACATTTAATTCCTCTTCTCCCCTCCCCCTCTGAATTTCATCGAATTACACAGTGACTAATTCACAGAAAATTTTTCAAACATAATAACTATATTGGAAAAGCAATGTTCCATGTATCAATCCCTTCATCTCGAATACCATAACCAATGGGAGTTGAGGGGGAGTAAACATCTTTAGAATAACAAACTTTGGTTATATTCTGCACAACTAAGAACTACCTCAAAGTTATAGCTATGTTGACTATTTAAGTTTTGTTGAAAAAGCATAAAGTTGGAAAACAGTTTATTATTGGCCATTAGTTATTCAAACTGGAAAGAATTTGAGAACATGAACAAATGATTGTGATAGACAGACTGGAAAGAGAATGTCTGTTGAAATTCAAGTTTTTCCAACAATCACCCACCCTTCTTCTACGATACAGACACAGATAGATATAGAGAGATAGATACAGGGAGCTCTGCAGCAAATATGAATGTATAGAGTTGCAAATTAAAACTAGAGATAGTAGCGGTATGAGTACTAACCAATTTGGGACAAGTTAAGCTTCCACTGGACCACTTTCTTCTCATAAACACCATTATCGACTGGCATGCCATTGTTAGTATCCTGCCCATTACTGGTAGTGTTTGCAAGTTCTATAGGTTGGCCATCATCCGTGACTATAGCATTTGTGGTAAATTTTCCACTGCCAATAACAGGTACTAGTTTTTGGCATTCAGATTTCCATGCAGCATAATGCTCTCTGAGTATAAAAATTCAGATTCTTAGGCAACTCATAAATAAGTTATAAGAAATTTATTAAAGAAAAAGAATATTATAAGGATGAAAGAAGGCACGGTTATGTTTTCAGCTGTTAGTGATAGTATACTTTTATAATTTGGTTCTCCAGGCAAAAATACATTTTTTCATTGTTAACTTATTAAACCCACCACCACTTCCCCACAAAGGTGCGCACACACTTGTCAAGGAAAGTTTCCCAGAAGAAAGATAAAAGCTTGCAAAGAGTGATATAATACTGCATATGCCCTGTCATTCATGACAATTTTTTGTTGTCTTTATCTTTTTTGTATGTTCATGGTATCATTATTACAGTTGTCTTTACTATTTTTATTTCTAAATTTCAATCTTTGACTGACCATTCTTCTTTTTGGTCCTCCAATACATTATGAGGCACATGAGAGCAACTGATGAGATCAATCTCTGGCAGTCCCCTTACCGATGAATTTAATCTTTTCTTGGCTATGTTTAATTATCTTGTAGCACTCATTTTCAATTGAATGCCAAGACTCAAGAATAAAGATACCAGAGAACTTAATGGTCAAGGATTCGACTATATGTCTGTGCATTCTTTTTTCAATATAGTTGGAAGTTTGTAACTATAAACGTCAACTATTGCAAAACACCAATTTCCAGCTTTTGTAGTTAAGACTAAAGGCACAAAGATTTGAACCTCAATACGTAAAGATTTCAAAGTTCATTGGCAATCTTTTGCCAAGGGGTCCTTCTGATAAGAAAAACTAAACCAAGCTGAACCTAACAAAATTGTCTGAAACTTGGCTTGTTCATTATGGAGAGCTTGATTAAACCAGACTTGCCCAACTGAATCCAAATCGGCTCACCTCGGTCTCAGTCCTAACTAGATCAGGATTCAGAAAGTTGATCTTTGATAAGAATAACTCTATGAACATGAAAAGTTTTTTGTGTAAATTACACAGAGGGCCTTCGATAGCTGCATGTGTTTATGCATCAAATTGAACAAATTCAATGCATAATGAGTCCCTATAGTTATGATTGTTGATTACCTCTACTATTTATAGTCTATATTGAATAAGTGTAACTCTTAGGCCATAGCTGAAACGAGTTAGATTACCTCCGTTGTTGTCTAAGTTCATTTCTTTCCTCAAATGTGCTATTGGGATCAAAACAACCCAGCAAGAACTCCCATACAGCCCCTTTAATTGATGGATGAATCCCCTAGCATTCACAGAATAATCAATAAGCATCAGAGTTCTTAAGACTTAAGCTTCCAGCTAAACAGCAAGCAGATTGGATATTTGTGATAGACAATGACTCCTTATAATAAACTCAATGGGCGTGCTAATGGTGGATCAGATTAGCTGCCTAATATATAGTTTATAGAAGTGTAATCAATGCTATGCCGAAATGTTGTTCTGAATCATGAATAATTTTACCGGCTAAACTTTTGTATAATTTCGACTTTCCGAAACTGTCCAAACTCAAACCAACAAGCTATTGTAGCGTAGATAAAACAATTATTGCTCCGGAATAAGCGAACCGATTGTTTCCCCTTTATTATTATTCACAGAGCAGTTAAAACTTCTTACATCATAAAAAATTTCTACTATTAACACAAAAAGAGGATCTTAAATGCTTTTCTATCAAGGCTCCCAACTGAAATAACATTGCTGGAAAACCACAAATGGAATGAACCTTCTATCTCATTATAGTTAATGAAATAATCTTTCTATAAGTGGAGATAACTGAGCAAGAGTATTTGATGAAATTGGTGTCTGATGAAGTTTTTCACCTTCAGCAGTTCACCACTTGCACAAATTGAGGATCTATTATTCTCCAAATGTCCACCAAATGAGCAACTTTGGTTCAAGTTAAAACCTCACCGGGTGGCAAAAGCACTTGCTAAAAAATATATGAACTGTTCACATTCACTAAAAAGCAGATTAATTTGTTCTTGATGGCAAGTAGTATGAGGATTGGCGTTGTTCAACTAGGTCAAAGTCATGAAAAGGGCAAGGTAGGAGAAGGAGACCATGAGCGAAATGCATTATCATCTTAGGAAATCACTATAAAGCTAAAGGTGGAGTACAAAGAAGGAATGGACAACATGAACTAGAGAGAAATCCAGTGGGTGAAGGGCTGTCATATTGAAGTAGAAAAATGGTTTAGTCATATAAGTGTCCAATATTCCAAACTGGGAATTACAAGATAAAATGAAGAATAGACAGCTGAAATTTGACTTTCTACCAAGTAGCAATTAATTTTCACAATGAACCACAGAAATAGATGTAACCATAGTGTTGTAGGTGAAAGGACCACCATCAACTTGGAGATCTTTAAAGTTTTAAAGCAATCCACTTGACAAGATCATGTTTCTGTTCATAGGGAAATGACAATGTGGTACAGTAAATTTATTAAAAATGTGCATTGAACAAGAGAGAGAGAATAAGTACCCCTCGTTGGATTCGTCTAAGAACACCTGCTATATCCAAATAACCCTCTTGAGAGAATGCAGCCTTCCATCTTCTTTCACTGAGAGTTCTTCCTGCCTATCAAGCACTTCCCCAAAAATAGGAAGTGCACAAAGGTACATAGTGAATAAATCTGCCATGAGAATTTATAAAATCATTTCTTTAGAAGGACTTGGAAAGAAACTGAGATAAACGTCACAAAAACTACAACAGGATATTCTAGTTCTTTTAACACATTTATGTAATCAAGCGTGTATATATTCACCTAATTGATAGATTAGAATTAGACTTCTCTAAACCAAAGGGGAGAGAGCTAAAATGAAACAATCAAGTAAATGCTAAAGTAGTTGAATTTAAAAGGACACGGGTAATTACCTAAAATAACAAAGGGTGGAATCCATTAACTAGTAACATATAAATTTGTTGTCTACTCAACCAAACAAAGTGTCAATCCCACACTAACTTTGGTCGACATTATGACTTCTGTATACATTTATATTGGAGAAATCAACATGGTTTGATTATTTTAATGATGACCGTCAACCTACAGCAGCCAGATCCTGCTGCAACCTTATTTATAGGTTCAACTAAGTCGAGTATCTTCGATATAGAGCATAAATATGTGTTAAATTAGTAAAATTTCAACGAATATTAAATTTTGAACCCATAATTTCAAAAATGTAATGAATGAAATTGTAAGAACAAAAGGCTTAATTCATCAAATCTAAATTCGGGATCCACCTCTAAGTCCGCAACCTCCTCTTTTTATCCAAAGTTGTGTATATAAGCAAAATTTAGCAGAACATAAATAAAATGATGAAAACGAATGAAGTTTCAACTCACCCTAGGTCTGAATCGAGTATTAGGAACATCAGCTCGGCATTCTGGTCTAACAGGAAAATAAGAGTCTAGATCCTCCAATGAAGAATCCCCTGTTATTCAAACATAAATCTCAAATACCCATTATAATTATAGAAAAAATCACAATCCAAAATCCACAAGAAGAAGAAGAAGAATAGGTAAAAATCATACTCCATTTTCCCAATATATGTGGCACCTTTCGCTCCAAAGAGTCAATTTGACTAATCTTTGAAGCTAAATTAGATTGGATCAACTAAGTATTTCAAAACTAAAATTTTGATATTCAAAAACTATTCGGAAAAGTACTATAAGTTACAATTTTCCTCATGTCAATATGATGAAAAATACATTATAAAATCTCAATCAAAGTTTACTTAGCTTAAATCTCGAAAAAAAGAAAAGTGTCAATATAGAGTAACAATTAGTACCATTCTTGCAGACAACGAGCATGAAACCTCAATACCCATTACAGTTTGAATTTGCATTTGAATTGATAACCCTCAAATACCCATTACAATTACAGTATAATTCCAACAAAACCAACAACAACGACATACCCTGTGTAATCCCACAAGTGGTGTCTGGGGAGGGTAACGCATAACAGATCTTACCCTACCTAAGGAAATAGAGAGACTGTTTCTCCTAGACCTTTTTCAATCCCAATAAAACCCAAATACTATAGAAAACAATAATAAAGCTCAAAAACCATTACCTTTTTGCAGGCAGCTATGTTTTTGAGTTGTTTAAATTATCAAAATAAATCCGAGATGGAACTTACAATGATAAACCCAAAATACTAATTCGAATTAGAATTGACAAACCCCCAAATTCCCATTTCAATAATACAACTACAGTATAATTCCAATAAAACCCAAATATAGAAAAATCACCAATAAAGCTCAAAAACCATTACCATTCTTGCAGACAGCTATTATTGAGTTCCTATGTCCTGGGGTTGTTTAAATTATCAAAAAAAATCGCACAAAATTCCATCTGAGATGGAGCTTACAATGACAAATCCCATATACACATTACATTTGAATTCGGATTCGAATTGACAAAACCCCAACTACCCAATTTCAATAATACAATTACAGTACAAATTTCAACAAAACCCAAATATAGAAAACAACAATAAAGCTCAAAAACCCTTACCATTTTTGCAGGCAGCTATTATTGAGTTGCCCATGTCTTGGGGTTGTTTAAATTATCAAAAAGATCGCACAAAATCCGAGATGGAGCTTATAGAATGACAAATTTACAACTGCAAAAAGACTATCGAACGATTCAATTAGTATCATATAGCAAAAGATACAATTTTTCAAATCGATTTTTACAAAGTAAGATGTTGGTGGAAAGAGGTGAAGTAATGAATACGAAAAAATTATTAAGAATGATGATTAATGGGCACCAGCGAGGAGAATTTTTGTGCTTTTTGTAGGTGTTACCGAGTTGGCATAGAAAGACCCCATTTTCCAACTGTATTACCTGCTCCTTGATAAAAATTATACTATATTTATTTAGGCGGACTAGGAGGGTATGAATGTCGAGGATTTAGATATAAATGAGCGATAAATGGTTTTGCATCTTGTTATTTTTAATTAGTAGTGTAGTCAAATATTTCATGTGCGGAAGATATATTTTGTGAAATGCAATGTTGAGATGGATGTGTAGGTATATTAAAAGTGATAAGATTAGAAATAACGTTATCTTGGAGAAGGTGGCAAGGGTTTTTGTGGTGGACAAAATGAGGGAAACAGATGGGATGGTTTAGAGGACATATGTAGAGGAGGTGTGTTGATGCCCCGTGAGCAGGTGCAAGAGGCGGGTTGTAGAGGGCATGCGGAGGGGTAGATGTTGGTCGAAGAAGTATCCGAGAGAGGTGATTAGACAGAACATGACGTAACTTCATATTATCGAGGACATGACTCTAAATGGAAAGGATGGATGTCACATATTAGGATAGAGGGATAGTAATTGTAGTACTAGTCGTACCTTGTAGTTCTTGCCATATGTCATTTGTTGTGTTTTCAATTATTACACTATTTTTATATTTGTTAGTATTCCTCTCTTGTAGACTTTGCACCGCTTTTTGTATTAATGACTGCTTTTTTCATTGTTTTCTTCTTCTTCTATTGGGTTTGATACACTTAAGCCGATGGTCTTTCGAAAACAACTTTTTTAATTCTACGAGGAAGTGCTAAAATCTGCGTATATTCTATCCTCCACAGACCGACTTAGTGAAATTTCACTAGATATATTATTTTTGTTGTATAATCGAATAATTCTAGATCGTTATTTGTTATAATCTATTTCACTGTGATTATTTAATTCTTTTAGAAATTGACATTTTATTATAAAGGCACATTCTTTATAAAAAAATAATATTTTTTTGTAAGAAATATATTTTGTATAAAATGATAATTATTTATTATTAATATAGTGCACATAGAAAATTTCTAACTATGAATATCTAAAAAAGAAAAAGAAAAAAGGTCATCGCATTTAAATAGTATATAGTCATAACTTTATAAGAAAAGATTGTTGATATTTATCTTTTATACGTTCGTACTCTCTTTATTATTTTGATTAATTTGGTTGATAAATACATTACGTCTTTTTGATATACTATCATATTATTGAACTAGCTTAGTTTTTTTGGGTGTTTTATTTATAATTACGGAATGAAAATTTTAATGTCAAAATGTATCCAATATTTGCTACCTTTTATGTTTCAAATTACTTATCACGTTTTTTTAAAAGTCAAGCTATATAAATTTTGATTTATATTTTAGAAGGTAATTTATTCATTATACTAATATGAATTACTTTAATACAAAAATAACTTACAATATTTTTATATAATTTAAATTTTTTAATTTAAAAATATTAAAATAAATCTAATATAATTTAATTTTGAATATTAATGAAAATAACTATAAAAAAAAATATGACAAGTACTTCAAGACAGATGATATAACTCAGATAATTCGGAATTGTGAGAACTATATGATAAGGATTTCCTCGAGAAGTTGTGTTAAATGAAATTATGATTTTTTCCCCCATATGATCTAACTTTTATTATAGATAAAATTAATTGATATATGTTACTAGTAGGAGATCAAATTTTATAAAATTAGTTGAGGTGCGCATAACTATTTCAAACTTTATGATTATATAAAGAAAGATCAAAATATATAAAATATAATCATCTCAAAATTAAATTAAACTCTACTGAACAAAATTTAAAATATTGAGTTAAAATTTTTGAATTTCAAATAACATATTTGAAGTTGAAATATATTGTCAAAGTCAAATTTCATCTTAAAAGTTCAAATTTTGAATTGTTATTGAGGCTCCAGTCCAAAGTTTGAATTGTTATTCAAATTTGATTACTTTGAATAGTTTATACCAGATAATGAATTGATGCAAAAAAATTTTTACTATAAATAAAGTACTATGTGAAAAATAACAAGCTAGTGAATTTATTTTTTCCTAATATAAAAAACCTCTCAATGTACATAATGGTATAACATAATTTTCATATGAATTTTTCAAATAATTAATCTTTAAGATTTTAAACTGTTTGAATAGTATTAACATATTTTGTCACATCAATCAAACTTATGAATAATTAAACAAGTTAGGAGTAAATACAAAAAGTGAATTTAATTTAAAAAATCTCAACAAAAAGATTTTAAAATACTGTTGAAATATTATTGTTATCCTACAAGTTTAAAGAAGCGAATATAGAATATCTAATATGAAAATTAAGTTTAAATCAAACAAATTTTATAAGAATTTTGAAAAACATTTTTTTTAAAAATCCGTCTTATTACAATTTGAGGAAGTGAATTTTGAAATTCAAATATAAAGCAAGTTAAAATCAAGTAAATATTATTGAAAAAACTTCAAAACGTTGATTGAAATGAGGATAGATAGTTCAAACTTAACAAAACAGTTGATTTTAATTTCAAACATATATATTTGAATCTAATATACATTTTTGAAACTAGACTTTAATAATTGCAATTATCAAAGCTTAAGACCTAATAAATTAAACTTCAGGATCAATTATTGAAAATTTAATCTTTTGCAAATAAAAATTTAACTGTATATCTGATTTTTTCTTGCACAAACAACATGTCAAACTTCAGACAAAATTTGAAACTATTTTTTTTCAACTTCAAATACATGTGTTGGAAATTATTTTGAAATAACAGAACTTACAAAATTTCATAGACCTTAGCCGTGACTTGAATGATGATCCTAAAATCGTCATCTGGTGCTCGCCTCATCTCCACCCCACATAGTATTTTCAACTTCATGACACATATGTCGAAAGTTATTTTCGATATGTCTCAACTTATAATTATTTTTTAGAGCAACTTTCATATATAACAAACATAAAAATCATATTTGTATGTTATAACTATAGTTTGTATAATTGCGCTCCATAACAAACTTTATGTTTGCTATGGAGCATTAGATTGTATAACTCGCTGGCAGGAGCTTCAAATTTGTATAATTTTGTATAAATCGCTGGCAGCCTCTCGTTTGTATAAATCGCTGACAGCCTCTCAATTCAATTTTATGTGTTTGTATATCTGCATAAAATTTGAATTTTTATACAATTGAATAGAAATAAAACATTTGTATATCAAATTTCTCTCGCTTTATACAACACAAATTATACATTATAATTTGTATAATATGTGTTTGTATAAAGCGAGAAAGAGAAAAAGACAAAAGAGAATTGGGTAGGGAAAGATCTATATTTGTATAATTATAAGTGTATAAGACGAAAATATATGTATTCGCATTTATATATACAGTTTTCTCTCGCTTTATACAAACACAAACACATTTTATACATTTGTGTTTGTATAAAAGCGAGAGAGGCAAGGGAGAGACTGGCGAGAGTGGCGCGCGAGAAGCCTAGGGAGAGAGACGAATGACAACTGTTTGCTACGGTACAATTAAATCAAATTGTGGTTATAACATTTAATTTGAATTAATAGTTTACTATTATATACAATTTTTCCTATTTTTTATAGTCGTGAGTTATGACTTAAATAGTGATCCCAAAATTGATCATTTATACTCGCCGCCCCTCCCCCCCTCGCCAACATCAACCCATCAACCCAACCCATCTACATTGTAATCATAAAATTTGGGCCTAAGCCCATATCATACTATAGTGGCCCATTACCCGAAGCAACAAAAACCCTAGCACTATAATCCCCTCATTGTAAACCCTAACACAATCCTCTCTTTCATCTCACTCTTTTTCGCAGCTTCACAGCTCCTTCAGATCAGTAAAAATGGTGTGTTTTTGTGAATTTTCAGTTTTCTGATTTCTCTAGTTCACCTTTTTCACAGTTATGTATGTCCGGTACTACTACGATTTTATTTTTTTTGAAACTTGAAAAAAATTGTATTTGATTTTGTTGTTCAGCCGTTCAAGAGGTTCGTGGAGATCGGAAGAGTTGCACTCGTTAACTACGGGAAGGACTATGGGAGGCTCGTCGTCATCGTTGACGTTATCGACCAAAACAGGGTACTTTATATATATATATATATTTTTTTTAAATGTTTTTAGTTTAAGTGCTTGATTTTAGCAGAGTATTTCCATTTGAGTTTACTTTTGAACTTGTTAGAGAACTAGTGTAGTATAATCGGTGATTTAGAGCACATTAGGTGGCATTTTGTTTTCGATTTCACCAAAAAATGATTTTGCAGGCTCAGTTGTTGAGATTTTGCAAGAGAAAGTGTGTGTTTGAGGCTTTGAGCTGTTTCAGGATGTTCAAATTCAGTTGTTGTTCCATTTTTTTTTAAAAGGCTTGAAGAAAGGCAAAAAGACCGAGCGTTATGCAGAAATCTAAAAAAAAACTGTTTTTTTTTAATGAAGCAATCATTAAAAAGCAGCAATCAGATGCAGAATTGCATAATAGACAAAAGGGCTCACACTAAGCATAAGCAGAAGTTATTTGGGCCTTTTACAATCTTCAAACTAGTACTAGATAGCTGAAAAACGTCAAGAAGTTGTTAAGTGCTAAATTCAGGGGTTAAATTAACCCAACTGAACAGCATAAGTAAACATCTAGCTTTAAGGGAGTGGTTTGGAGTTGAGATTCCATCAAAATTTCAGAAACTGAGTTCGCAAACTCTAAAGTAAATGCCACCTTAGTTTTATAGGACACCTAATTCTATCTTTTAATAGTGATGAGAATGTTGCTTGATTTGAGTGGATGGATACATAGGATTAAGATAGCTAAACTCAAACTAGTTTGGATTTAGGTGTAGTGGGTTGATTAATATTAGCATGGATGCAACTTTTATGTTTTGGAAAGGCTGGGCACATATTTCAGGGGAAGTTGGGTTTTCATTCTTTTTGGTGACCAATGTGCTGGGTTTGGGTTTTCATTTTATGTGCTTACTTACCGTTTTTTAATAGATGATATATGTAAGTCCAATGATTGAATAGAGTGGAATGCTTATAGTACATCCCCACTAGATTGGGATGCAACTTTTATGTTTTGGAAATGTTGGCCACATGTTTCAGGGAAAGCTGGGATTTCATTTTACTTTTTCCTTCCATCAGTTTATAGATGATATCTGTAAGTCCTAAGGTTGAATAGAGCGGAATGCATATAGAGGATGTATAGTACATCCCACTAGATTGGGATGCACCTTTTATGTTTTGGAAATGCTGGTCACGTATTTTATGGAAGCTGGGTTTTCATTTTTTTTTTTACTTTACATCTGTTTATAGATGCTATCTGCAGGTCCTATAGTTGAATAGAGTGGAATGCATATAGTATAACCCCACTAGATTGGAATTTAGGCGGACTTAATAACTTGATTACCTTAACACAAATGCAACTTTTACGGTCTGGAACTGCCAGTCACATCTTTTAGAAGAAAGATTGGATGTCTACAACTTAGCCAATTTTCTTCGTGAAAGATCTGTGTATGGCCTATGATGGAACATTATGTATGCCTACATTGTCTGATCTTATTAACTTGATTGAGCAATATTGTCTGAGGCCTTGTACATGGATTCAAGAAGAGTAATTTGTGACTATGAAATTAGCAGTTCCAGACCTTTTGTTTTGAATATCTGTCTTTGTTGCCAAGGCAGTTTAATGATGTTCTGTTGATTGAAAGTGAGCCTTATTAGTTATATTAGGGGTCTGTTTTGCTGTTACAATCTGGTACTAATACCATAGGGGTTGTCATGTTTCTGACTACTATGTTCTTTTCGGATTGAAGACTTTACTTTTCAAATAAAAAATGTACGGAAGTGGGGAACCTTTACCCTCTACACAGTTGTAGAACTTTTGATTGCTGGGTCCTGTGATTATATTGGTTTATGTGTTGATCTAAGAGTGAGATGTTGGTACATGGGGCACAGTTCTAGAAGGGTGATGCCCAATATGTGAAAATAACTTTGTTCACTTGTCTCCTAAACTAGATTTCTGATGAAAATTTTCATATCACTAAAACACGTCTTATTTTCTTAAAGAACCACTCAGATACCCTGCTTTTTTCCATCTTTACATGTTATTTCATGCTTACTCAAATCTCATGGTTACTTGAGTTGTTGAGCTTACTTTTAATTTGGACAGATGGTAGGCGGTGGTTAATTGATAGACAAGTATTAACTTTGGAAAATGATGAAATTATGATTTTTATGTATCCTAATAATTTTGCAATCTCTTTAAAATCCTAGGCTCTTGTTGATGCTCCTGACATGGTGAGGAGCCAGATGAACTTCAAGAGGCTTTCACTCACAGATATCAAGATCGACATCAAGAGAATTCCAAAGAAGAAGACCCTGATTGCTGCTATGGAGGCTGCTGGTAAGTGTGGCTACATATTCTCTTATAGACAATTTGGAGTAGATAGTACTATATCAGCTCTTTTTATATCTTATTTGTAAGAAAAGCTTGTAAGGTTGACTGAACTCTCATTTGCTTTATGTTGTCCTCCCAGATGTGAAGACCAAGTGGGAGTCCAGTTCCTGGGGAAGGAAGTTGATCGTGCAGAAAAGGAGGGCTTCACTCAACGATTTTGATAGGTTTAAGCTCATGTTGGCAAAGATCAAGGTGTGATTGCATTTGCATTTGAGCTTAACTTCTTTCAGTTCTCAGTTCATTTAGTCCACTCATCAAAAAACTTTATGCGGGTTTATTTGAAAAAGCTAAAAGAATAGGTTTCACTACAACATACCCAATATAATCTCACAAGATGATGTGTCCCTTATTTTGTCAAGGTAGAGAGATGCCATGCTTGTGTCCAGAAACTCAATATATTTACTTCTAAATTGCATAATCTTTTTACTGATGTGGTGGTTATGTATTTTGATCTGATTCGTTTGTGTTTGACGTTGCAGAGGGCTGGTGTGGTGAGACAGGAGCTTGCAAAGCTTAAAAAGGAGGTTGCAGCTTAAGAACTTTTCAAGTAGTGAAACATTGATTTAAAGCAATTTTGGAAGTTGTATTTACTTTTGGGAATATATTTACCCGCCCTGTTTTTTTTCTGTCTTTCCATTTTTGCCTGTTTTAGACTTGCTGGGAAATTATTTTTCTGATCTTATGAATGGTGTACTGTTTGTTTCACAGAATGCTTGCTCAGTTTTTTCATATTGTCTACCTTGCACACTTTGCAGCCACAGATAAACTCCTCTTTCTTTTGAAGTTCAATGTTGAAAAATCGTATTCACAGCCTCGCTAAAGCAAGGCTTGAAGTAAAGTGTCTTCTTTTGATAAAGATATGAATGTTTGTTTAAGATGACATTATACATTTCAGTATTATTTCACTAGAGGAGTTGAAAAAGAATCTCATATATGAATTAACTATTTTAGGGGTTTTAGTTATGTTAGAATTATTTATAATATATAAATAAATTAATGTACATAAATTTCCTTGCAATTTAAATTTAGTTATGTGGGAATTTTAATTGCTAATCGAACCACTGTATATGGTGTGTCGAATTTTATAGGTAACCAAAACAAATGTTGCCAAATATAGTACAAATTATGTCGAAAATTTAATATTTTTATATACAATATATATATATATATATAAGTACCCCTTTAAATGTGAATATTATGAGAGAAGAATTAAAAACACTCCTAAATTTATTAGTTTTGATTTGAACTATTGATGGTCTTAAAAATATATTGTTGCTTGACTAATTGAACTTAAATATAATTCAAATTTTGTAACATGAGTGAAATATACTTTTAAATTTTATATATCTAAATTTCTATCAAGTTTAGGGGTGTTTCCAATAATTCTTTTGATTTTTTATTAAGAGTTCCAAGAGTTTGAAACCACTTATTATATCATGTGACAGATTAGGTGTATCTTAGTTTAATTAGTTAAGTTAAAGAATATTTTTAAGGTTATCAATAATTGAATAAAACTAATAATTTGTGTCAATTCGATGGACTATTTTCAATACTTCGGATTGATTGTTCATCTACCTTCAAACATATAGAAGTGTACTTTGTGGCTTACTAATATAATAACCAAAACTTTTGGGGCTTTGTTAAAAATTATAATCTTTATTGTAGCTTCCATTCTTCTGTCCCAGTTATCAGACCAAGAATACCAATTTCCCATAAATCTGTTCTACACTTCTACTGTTGTTGTTGGTTCAATCAAAATGAACATCATTTCTAAGAAACCCAATGCAAAAGGTTCAATTTTTAACTTCTTGATTTCATCAAAACTCTATTTTTGAAGAACCCCTTTTCTTTGTTTACCTAATTGCTGCCTTAGAATACATATATATGTATGATTCATATATTCTAAAGTGATTGATTCGGGATTATCTTGAGTTAAGGGTAAAGGTCTGTGCACACTCTATGATTGTTGGAAACTTTACACAAAATTTGAGTTTTTATGATTCTTGGTGTTTGATTATTCATAAAATTGAGCTAAAGTTGTGATCTTTTTTGTTTTTGACAGAGGTGCTTTGGGAGAGCAGAAGAGGACTGACTCATGCCACCAGAGGTAAAACTATATTACACTTTGCCTTACAGAAACTTTATATATTGTCAAAATTCATAATATTACATTTTCCAAGTTAAGAAAAAGCTTTCTTATAAAGCTAAAAAGAAACTAAAATTCAAATCCAACATCATAAGCTGCAGGAAGAACCAAATCCATTACGCCAACTTCTTCTTATTCTTGGCATTTAAAATCTGAAAAATAAGATAGTGAGTCAAACAATTGTAAATTATATTTCAATCAAAGCCGAATTATGCATTAGTTGTTCACTGTTAAACCATCCATAACATTAGCTAAGGCTAATCCTTTTTCAAATCTTCAGCTTCTTAAAGTTGTTGGAAAGAAAAATATGCTTCGTATCGAGCATTAGTTAGTTGTTGTTTATAAGATAAAAGCATAAAACCTAGTGTATTAGTAGTAGATTGAACTAAAAAAGATGAGTGTTGAGCTTAGCTTGAATACCTGAAGTTCTGAAATCAAATCTTTCTTTATTGGTAACTTGTCTATAAGCGATTATTTCTTCTTCTGTAATTCCTTTAACCTCGCTGCTTCTTTCTCCTTCGCATGTTAATTTTGTGTTCCATTTCTTCAATGATTCTAGCAAGCCATTTCGGATTTCTAGTTAAGATCATGAAATACATTATGGATAATCCAATACATAATCCACTGCCATAGCCCATCAGAGCAGCTTTCCAAAAATCATTGAGAAATTCAGAATTGCTTTCTTGATCAGCTAGCGCAGATACTGTATAATTTGTCTCTGACACAGGATCATTGCCACAACCTTTTGAAACGGGGAATCCACGTAATCCATCATTACCATCAAATGAACTATTCTCAAAGGTATGAAATTGGGGTCCTTGAGGGATGCATCCTTGGAGATAATTGTGGGAGAGATTTAAGAATTCAAGAGACGTAAGAGAAGCAAGTTGTTGTGGTATCTCTCCCGAAAGGCGGTTAAATGAAAGGTCCAATGATTCCACTACAGATAAACGTCCAAGTGATGGTGGTCTATGGCCTTTCAATCTATTGTGAGATATATTCAACACCCGAAGAGCAATGAGATCTCCTAGAACACTAGGAATATGTCCTTCAAATTTGTTGTTTGAAAGATTGATAACTGTGTACAAAGACAAAATTCTCAAAACTTCAAGCTTCAATCCCTTCGATGCAACAACTATCGAGTCTTCGTAACTTCCATCTCCTTCATAACTTGGTACCATCATTGTTTGATCAATTGTCCTCATGCCTTTCAAATGTTGAAACAAACTCGTTGGTAAGTCTTTCGAGAAGGCATTGTTAGAGAGATCTATGGTTCGAAGATCAGGAAACATGATTTCAGCCCCTGAAGATCTTATGGGTCCATACAATTTATTCGATGTCAATCTTAAAACTCTCAGCTCTAACAAAGTTCCCAACCACATGGGGAATGTGTCATTGAGATGATTATTTCCTAGATCAAGAACTTGCAACTTTTTGCAATTGGCCAAAGATCGAGGGATTTCCCCCTCTAGTTCATTGCCATGCAAATTGAGACTTATAAGTGAACTTCCAATGCTAAAATTTGTTGGAAGAGTCCCAGAAAATTTGTTGTTCTGCATATCAAAAACCTGTAGGGTATTAATATTGCCAAAACATTGTGGAATTGCTCCCTCCAGACTATTTCTTCCCAAATCTAGAATTTGTAGTGATTTTAAATTGGAAATAGATGAAGGGATCTCTCCATTAAGATTATTACGTGACATCGTCATAACCTGGAGGCCGCTAATATTACCCAAACATTGCGGAACTTTTCCCTTCAAGTTGTTTCTCCGCAAAAACAAAATATCAAGTGATTTTAAATTGCACATAGATAAAGGAATTTCCTCAGTGAGATTGTTTTCATCAAGAAACATTCTTTGCACATTTCTCAAATTCCCCAATGAAGCAGGAATAGAACCATTAAGAGAGTTAATACTCAGATCTATGAAACTAAGAGACCTTAGGTAACTTATTTCAAGAGGAATTGAACCATTAAGAAAGTTATTGTTCAAACGAAGATCAGTAAGAGACCTTAGGTAACCTATTTCTTGAGGAATAGAGCCAGAAAGTTGATTTTCACGAAGAGACAAAAAGGACAAGTTGTTCAAATTGCCCAATGAAGCAGGAATAGAACCATTTAGAGAGTTATAACTTAAATCTAGTTCACTATGAGACCTTAGGTAACCTATTTCCTCAGGAATAGAGCCCGAAATGTGATTATCAGAAAGATACAAATAAGTCAAGTTGTTCAAATTCCCCAATGAAGCAGGAATAGAGCCATTTAGAGAGTTACTACTTAAATCTAGTTCACTAAGAGACCTTAGGTAACCTATTTCCTTAGGAATAGAGGCCCAAAAAGTTGATTTTCATAAAGAAACAAAAAGGACAAGTTGTTCAAATTCCTCAATGAAGCAGGAATAGAACCACTAAGAAAGTTCCTACCCAAAGATAGCTTAGTAAGAGACCTTAGGTAACCTACTTCTTTAGGAATAGAGTCATTTAAATGGTTGTCAAATATACGGAGGATCTGAAGCTTGGTTAGTGATCCGATTTGTGGTGGAATTGTTCCTGAAATCTGATTGATGTTCAAATCAAGATAGACAAGATTAGTGAGATTACTAATCTCAGGTGGAATGATGCCAGAGAAATTGTTCATGCTAAGATTAAGATTCTCAAGAAAAGGGAGAGATGAAAATGGAAAAGCATAGAGTGTAGCACTGACACTAGTATTTGTAATATTCAACGTGTTTACCCTACCATTAAAGCATTTAACTCCATACCAGTCCCTGCATGCATTAGAACTTGGCGTCCATGAAGCCAATAAGGAATTATTCTGGTTCTTGAAAGTTGCTTTCCATTTCAAGAGGGCAGTTGCTTCCTCAGTCGAAGCAAAAGTAACTGTAAAGAGATATAAAAGAGTGAGACACTGAAGTGAAGAGAGTATTTTGCTGGAAACCATCATCATATTTTGAGTTTATTGTTTCGGGTTCATGGGATTTTATATTGTACGTAAATTATAATTAAAGACCAACACTAATTCAGACAAGGACTTAACCGAAGTGGCAAAAATAGTTTTGTTATCACACATTGATCATGACCACTCTGCCTTAGCATATGATATAGACATATTTGTTTCAACAATTTTCAGTCTTAAATTAATAATTTTCTAAACTACATTATCTCTAATTCATATGTAGTAGACGTCAAGAGTTGATTTCTCACGTGGTCATTCAACTATAGATAATTATCTCAGAAAGTCACCTTTCTTTGTTTTTGTAAGAGAAAAGTCACTCAAATATTATTGTCATTCTTTAGTCAAATTTGGGTTGTTGTGCTTTTGTCTTTTAATTGTCTTTATCCATGTGTTACACATCTACTCCCATTTTTTTCTAAACTCTTATTCACACTTTGTCTGTTCAATTTTATTAGAGAAAATGTTGTCATTCTTTAGTCAAATTTGGGTTGTTGTGCTTTTGTCTTTTTATTGTCTTTATCCATGTGTTGCACATCTACTCCCACTTTTTCCAAGTAAAACAAAACTATCATACAGAAAATAAATTCTATCAATTAGAATACAAAGCTTAAAAAGAAGTAGAGTTTCACCTTTCTAATCTTTTTCATAAGATAGAACAGCATCTTGTGTTACTTTCTGATTTTCAGTCATCACAAAATTTAGAGGTTAATCTCATGAATCGTCACTACTAAACTTAACTCTTTGTAGCACTAGAGTTACAATACTAAATACTAAAGTGACTAGACTATGTGTTAATTAGTCCCCTCAGAAAATACATATCACTGGAAACAGTGGCCGAGCTAGAGATCAAGATACGTGTACGTTGGCTGAATTGCAGTATTCAAATTTGAATTTTTAATTAGGAAAAACGGTTTTCATCATCCAGAAATGGTAATTTGAGTCATTTGGCTAACGACAGGGTTACGTAAGAACTTGATTAACTCTCATTTGCTTTATGTCCTCGCATATGTGAAGACCAAGTGGGAGTCCAGTTCCTGAGGAAGGAAGTCGATCGTGCAGAAGAGGACGGCCTCACTCAATGATTATGACAGGTTTAAGCTCGTGTTGGCAAAGATCAAGGTGTGATTGCATAATCTTTTTACCGTTGTGATGGTTATGTATCGATCTGATTCGTTTGTGTTGGACATTGCAGAGGGATGGTGTGGTTTGCAAAGCTTAAGAACTTTTTATCTACCTTTGGAACTGTTTTGTTTTTCTTTTCCATTTTTGCTTGTTTTAGACGTGCTGGGAAATTATTTTTCTGATCTATGAATTGTGAACTGTTTGTTTCAAAGAATGTTTGCTAAGTTATTTCATATATTGTCTTCATGCACACTTGCAGCCGTAGATCGTCTTCTCCTCCATTCTTTTGAAGTATCGAGTCTGATACATCAACTATCTACTCAATATCCTTGTACGCAGTGGCAGAGCCAGGATTTTCAATAAGGGGGTTCAAAATTCGAAGGAGTAAACATACGAACTAGTCGAAGGGGGTTCGACATCTATTATATACATCTAAAAAATAATTTTAACCATGTATATATAGTAATATTTTCGAAGGGGGTTCGGATGAACCCCTAAAGACATGTTGGCTCCTCCCCTACTTGTATGAGTCTACAATGACTACACAAAGATAAACTTTAGTTTTGGTGAATTGAAGTTGACCTTAGGTGCAATAGGAGTCTCAGTTACTGTGCACAATCATATGTTGAGGTGCTCCTCGGCGGTTGTTAGGTCTTGATTAAGAAAGATGAAAGGCTCAAAAATCGGGGTTAAAATTTCTCCGTTTCATTGAGGGCAAAAAATGAATCGACATCTTGATGTGATACAATGTTAACCCACCTTGTTCCTGAAAAGGAAAGGATCAAACCTTGTTTCACCATTGGAGCTAGAAAAGAAAAAAGCATTTTTCATGAATTCATTATTGGAAAAACTACCTAGTTAGACATACTTTAGTGCCATATATACTTAATTTACCTCTAGTTTAAAAAAATTACGCACAATATCACTTTTATTTTTTAAATATTTAATTAGATACACAAATCTCTTATATATGATGTTAAATAATTATCTTAAAATTTAAACTCATTAATTAATGATAAATTATCAATTCAAAAAGTTTTTCTCTCACTTCGTTCTGTTGCTCCCTCCCCAAATCCCATTACCTTCTGTATCTCTCAGCCCCAGCCCATCCCCCACGATCTTCAAACACTTTCACCATCTCCCTTTCTTTCTTAATCCTCTCAATTCCATGTCCCTAATTCAAAACTAAATCTTGATAATCACAAGTATACAAAGATGTAAATTACTTTTTTCTCATTATTTTAATGTATCTTGGTTTTACATCTTATTTATGTATCTGAAATAGAGTTCATATTTCTCTAAAGTTCTATTGTATAAACTTTTACAAATTAGGCTACAAGATACATGCTCGAGATACATGTATCTAACAATTTTTAAGACTGAGATACATATTGATACATGTATCTGAGATAGAATTCATATTTCTCTGAAGTTCGATTGTATAAACTTTTAAAAATTAGGCTACGAGATACATGCTCGAGATACATATAGCATTATTAATGGAGAGAAGCATCATCCACCTTTGTAACGAAATGAAAACTAGCTTGCACAAAGGGCAATAGAGAACCTTTCTGGTTGATGCATATGACAAGGATTTTGGTCGTTCAGCCGAGATCAATATCAAAGGAGAAAACTACATGATTCTCTGTACTAATTTCATTCTATTCAGTTCCGTTATCATAATTAGACTATTTTAAATTGCACCTCAACCTGCCGATGTATTCCTCTTTATATGTGTTTTAAAAAGTTGGCGTAGGATTCAGGCGGATACAAAGGAAGGAACCGATGAAGAAGATGAAGAGTACAATAACAAAATTATTTGGGTTTATGATTTCGTTATTTTAGGAAAACTTGTTAGAGTTAATACTCAAGATCCTGTAAATCTGTTGGGTTGTTAATTAGTCAACAATCAATCCTTTAATAAAGGAAATAAGTTACACCCCTTTAATTCAAATTGATAAATTATTTATCTTAGCTTTAAAAACTGTTGGATACTTGTATCTCTGCCCTTAATGATACATGTATCTCGAGGTCAAAATATGGTATAAAAAGTAATATTATAAACTATTGGGAATTATAATAATTAGGATCTAAATTAGTGGGATTTATGTAAGATGCCCTTAATTATTTTAGGGGTTGTTAAGAGTTATGCAAATACTTAGAAATTAATTATGCATGTTTTTTTTATATATTTATAAAATAATATATATTTTCTTGTAATTTATAATAATTTAATCGAAGTTATGTGGGTTTTCTTGCTAACTAAACACGGTATGTGGTGTGTCAAAATTTATAGGTAGTCACTAAAAATATAGTAAAGTTATGCAAAATTTAATACATGAATACTTATTTCCTAATCAAATTAAACAACCCCTTAGTTCGAATATTCTTTTGTTTCACTTATTAAAATTATATTAGGGTGTGGAAATTATTTATAGTTCTGAACTTTGGCTTAAAAATCAAATTCCCCCTCAACTTTGAGAAACAAGCATTCTTCCCCCTTTATCCTATGCAAAGTCTATTTTACCCTTGTCATTTTTAATTCTTCCTCCATACAATTTTTTTTTATATTATATATTTATAATATTTTATTTTTAACCCTTATATTTATAGATTTTTTTTAAATTCATTAATTTTATAAAGAATAATTCTTTTCTGAGCTTGTTGCAAAATAAAATGTTATTCTTTTTATGATTATTATTTTAATATTACATATATTAAGTACGAATGTATAAATGTATTATGTACATGCATATTTTATTTTTACTTATCTCTTAGACATAATATATTAACGTGCTCTTTAACTTGATCTCGACTGACATTTATACCTTCCAATTTATGGGTTTGAACAAGTAGACAGTTAAACTTGTATAAAATCACATAGGCACACACGTTCTATACATACCATAATATGTGTCCTACATTACATTATACAAATCATTTCGAGTGTATCTCATGTAAAATGTGTGTTTTACTTGTTCAATTATATATATAAATAATTTAAGTGTTTAATTATGCACACTCAAAGTTGAAAGGCGTAGATGACAATTGAAGCCAAGTTAAAAGGACGCATTTTATGTAGTTAGTTATATCTTTGATTCTCTATTTTCTATTTAGATAAATAAATCTTGATTGTCATTAATAAAATATTTTTAAAATTAGAATTTAATTCTTTTACAATATAAATAGATATCTTTTAGGAAATTGCTATGAAATATATCCTTATTTTATTAATTATTTTTCATTATTTGCATCAAAATATATTTATATAGTTATCACATAATAATAAATTCCGTTAAAATTAATAATATTATTTTTTATTCTGTTAATTGAATTTATTATAGAACGACATTAAATTATACTCTCACTCAATATTTTTTCTTTTCTGGATGAAATTAATTATTTTTAATAAAAAAATTGTTATATAGATTAAAAATAAATATAAAGAAAAGATAAATGTTGATAATGTAAGGGTAGTATGGACATTTAGAAAAGTCAGTTAGTAAAAGGGGAGGAGTATGGACATTCAAAGGTCATATCAATTGTAGGCGTAAAATGATTTTTTTTTTTATTAATTCAGTAAGTGATCAAATAATACAAGATAAATATATTTTTAAGTAACCTTTGAACTTTGTGGCTTACTAATGTAATAACCAAAACTTTTGGGGTTTTGGAGAAAAAGAGAAGAAGAAGTCTCCTCTCCTCTGCTTGAGTTAAAAATAGGGAAAAGGGCCTGATATACCCCTCAACTTTGTCATTTGGAGCTGATATGCCCCTCGTTATGAAAGTGGCTCATATATACCCTTACCGTTATACAAACGGCTCACATATACCCCTACCGTTACAAAATGAGCTCACATATACCCTTCATTTAACGGAAGTGAAAAAGTTAAGTTTTAAATTTATATTTTTGACTTTTGATTTTCTTAAAAATTATTTAGGGGTATATATGATTCTTCTAGCAAAGTTCAAGGTATATTTTAATCTTTTTCATACATAGATTATTTTTTGACTTCTTTTATTATAATTATTTGAGTTTCTTATTCTTATTTTATTTTTT